GTCGTACTTTGATTGGTTGGGGCTCTTTTTGAGCCTCTGGAGGCTCTGTTGGAGTTCTCTGGAAGCCGACTTAACACCTCCCCCGAATAAGATTTCTTTCTAGGGTCAACTTGTAGTTTGACAACTGGGTTGCGACGTCGTCCCATTATTCTCGTCGTCTTCCCTGTCCACGGCTTTCTTTCAGTGTTCTTTGGCATTTGTGGCATTGGTGCGTCTAAGATTAAACCTAACGGAAAAATCGGTTGGTTACTTCGATTCTGCATGGTTCTTTTGTCTTTAAGGATTTGATTTGTGTGTCGTGTACATGTCCCAAACGTTCCTCGAACTCTGTACAGAACTCTTCCCAATTTTGTACAACTTCTCCCGGCTCTCATCGGTTCTTCCCGATGTAGGATTTAATGTAAACTTTGTCGCCAACATTGAAGTTCCGGATATTTGGATTGTAACAGTGCTCATCAACTAATTTGGATGGCAACATGGCATTGAAGACGGTTCGTACACGCTTTCCGAACACGACTTCCGCAGGAGACTTGCCGTCCGGAACATTCGGAGTGGATCTGTAGGATGTTAGAAATTTCGTGATCACCTGCCCAGTCGTCCCTTCGCCTCCCCCCTTCAGTAATGCTCGTTTAAAGATGTCCACGAAGCGTTCTGCTTGTCCGTTAGATTGTGGATGATAGGGTGGAGAACAAAGATGAGTTATTCCGTTTGCTTTACAGAAATGCTTAAACGATTCTGCGGCGAATTGCGAGCCGTTATCTGTTATTAAGGTCTCTGGTACTCCAAAACAGCCTAACAGGATAGACAGCTTGTAGATTGTTTCTGAGGTTGTACAATTTGGCATGGTATATACTTCCGGCCATTTAGTAAATGCATCCACGATAATTAGAAACAGTTTTCCTTGGATTGGACCAGCAAAATCTGCATGAATTCTTTCTCAGGGTCCTGCAGGCGTAGGCCAATACTGAGGTTCGCATTTCACAGGATTTTTAGCGGCTTGAATGCATGATGGACACTTACGGCATTTATTCTCGATATATTTGTCCATTGACGGCCAACAAGCATAACTACGAGCCAACGATTTCATTTTATTGATTCCAGGATGGCCACTGTGAAACTGCTTGAGAACCTTGTGACGTAATAACTTCGATCACCGAACATAATACACGAGTCAACAACCATTAGTGAGTCCCGTTGACGAAAATATTGCAAGAGTTCTCCGTCAAAGCGATTGTTTGGACATTTGGTCGAGAGATAGAATTTGACTGTGCTCAGTATCTTATCACTTTCAGTGATCTTCTTGATAGTTTCAAAGGTTACTGGGAGTCCATCGATTGCGTCGTCCAATACACGATGAACTTCTTCCTCGGCTTTTATATTTGCTACAAGAGTCTCCTCTGGGGTTTTTGATTGGGAGCCTATTAATCTTGACAATGCGTCAGCTTGTCCGAAGGCTGTAGTAGACTGATACTTTATCTTGAAGTCGTAACCAAGAAGTGTGGTTGCCCATCGTTGGAGTCGGTTAGCTGTATGAACTGGAATACCTTTCTTTGACCCAAAAACTGCAAGTAATGGTTTATGGTCTGTTATTAGAGTAAAATGTCGGCCATATATCATCTTATGGAACTTCTTCACTGCAAAGATAATTGATAGGGCCTCTTTTTCAATCTGACTATAGTTCCTTTCGGTCGTTGTCAACGATCTGGCAGCGTGTGAGATAGCTTTTTCAGACCCATCAGGAAAAATGTGAGAGATAACTGCACCCACACCATAGTTAGAAACATCTGAAGCGACGACTATCGGTAGCGAAGGATCATAGTGTGTCAATAACAGATTCGATGTCAGGAGTTGCTTGATTTTCTCGAAAGACGTTTGGCAGTCTGCAGACCAATTCCATCTCGTATTCTTTTGTAACAGGTTGTTTAGTGGAGAACGCAGACGATGTAGATCGGGGAGGAAGGCACCATAATGGCTGACCAATCCAAAGAATGGTCGTAGGGTGGTAATGTCCCTGGGTCTAGGCATTGTTTTCACTGCTTCAATGTTCTCTGGATCTGGTCGTCTTCCGTTTTTATCTATTATGAACCCAAGGTACCGTACTTGCTGCATATAGAAGTCACACTTTTCCGCTCGGAGGCGAAACCATAATCGGCTACACGTTCTAGTACCTGGTTTAGTTACTTCTGCAGGTCCATTTTATCTACTGCCATAATTATGATGTCGTCTGAGTAAGCTGCTGCCCCTGAAATACCTTGTAACATGGTATCCATAATTTGCTGAAAAATAGAGGGCGCTGTCCTCACCCCAAAAGGTAGTCGGTTATACCGGAACAGACCTTTGTGTATGTTGATCGTTAAAAGATCTTTGCTTTCATCAGATACCGGGATTTGTAGATATGCGTCTGATAAGTCCAATTTCGCAAAATATCTGCCACCGTTCAGTTTAGCAAAAAGATCTTCTGGTAAGGGCAACGGATACTGATGGGACTCAAGAGCTTCATTTAATCCTATGGAGTAGTTTCCACATAGACGGACACTTCCATTCGACTTCTTAACCACCACTATCGGTGCAGCCCAGTTCGGGAAGTTCACAGGCTCGATAGCACCCATTTGCTGAAGTCGTTGTAATTCTTGTTCAACTATTGGAAGAGCAGCATAGGGCACAATTCTTTTAGGTCGAAAAATGGGAGTAGCTGCAGGCTTTAGAGTTAGCACTGCTTTAGCCTTCGTGCATTCGCCTAATCCTTCTTTAAACATGTCTTGGTGTTTTTGTAGCATGGCATTTTTCTGACTCCACTCTGAGGTGTTGTAAGTTGTGATTCGTTTGCAGATACTGTTAACAGAGTGGTCTGCTAGGTTAAGTGCTTCTATAAGATCTAACCCCATTAAATCGAGTGCTGGCTTCTTTGTAAGATATACTGTTGCCTTGGTTGTTGCCGCACCTTTAGACACAATACAAGGTATTTCTCCAACAATGTTTAGCTTTCCACCTGATGCATTGTGTGCTATTTGTGTTGTTCGATGCACCGTGGGTCGCCCAATCTTCTTTCAAGTTTCTGGACTTATTAAAGTAATATCAGAAGCAGTATCAAGCTGAAGTCGAATGCGATGTTTATTAATATTCAAGGTTACGTACTTTCTCTGGCGGCACCTTCGAGCTTTGTTCTTTATACGGACAAAACCTCTTATAATGCCAGCCTCCACATGCCCATCATGGAGATGATGGTTTGTCGCCGTTATTACGATAATTACACGTGCTGGAACCTTGCAAGGATTTTCTCTTGACTGCATTGACATTATGGAAACAGTTACCGTTTTCTACCATTGAGGTATCATGCTTCAAGTTCACTAACCTTTGGCACTCGGTAGTTACTTCCTGTAGGGTCATGTTAGGGCAGTGTTCAAGTTTACTTAAGATTCTGGTCCGGATATCAGCATCATCAGGAGAACGCAGGCTGCAGGTAAATACTAAGCATAAAAACTGGTCCTCAGACATGGACGACAATTTGAACCTCTCACATTCACGGTTCACAGTTCCTGCATGTTTCACCCAGTCATCGGCAGATTCTTTCGTTAACTTTAAACACTAATAACGGATATTAAATAAAGATGACTGTTCTCCGAAGATTTGGGACAGGGTTTTGACTGTTTCATCAAAACTAAAATCTCGCGGGTTCTTCGGGAGAATGAAGTTGCTGTAGCGTTCATGTTCCACAGTCCCAAGTTTTCTCAGAAGTATTTTGACTTTCGAAGCATCATTCAGGTTGCAAAGATCAATATAAAACAAATCTTCGTACTTCTTAAACCACGACTCAAAGGTTATACCTGCTACACCATCAAAATTAAATTCATGTATGGCGTTAAAGACTGAATCAGTATGTGATACTTGTGATTCACTGGAAGCCGGGTTTCTCGGACAGGCAGAATTTCTGCATCAGGGTTTCCATGATTCTAATTTGGGACTCTTCAAACCTCTTTTCTTGACTCACCATATAGGCTTCTAATTTCTCCAGAGAAATATTCATTGTCATTTTCCCGTCGCCACTGATATGTCTTGTAGGTTGAACGCTTTATTCATATCCTAAGCTATTCGGATAACCCCAGGGCTAGCACTACTCTGCGACTTGAACACCAGAGAGAAGACACGAGTATCAGAGAAACACTTTACTGCAAGGTTCATTTCTGTACAGAAAATCGTAGGTATTTATAGATGTTTGCTTAAGTTAAATCAACATCCAAACTCAGCCAATCCAATTGACGACATAAATTGCTACTGACCAATGGTAGCATGCCACGTTGGAACTCCAGAATGTTCTGTCGTACTTTGATTGGTTGGGGCTCTTTTTGAGCCTCTGGAGGCTCTGTTGGAGTTCTCTGGAAGCCGACTTAACAATTTTGATGTATAGAATACTAAGAAAGATTTTTGACCTAATATCTGCCCTTTTTCTTTCCACCAGATCGTGACATTTCAGAGGAAATAACAAGCTATTATAAAAGCCAAGAACTAGTAAAATACCCGTGGCATACAGGTTTTCACACAGAATCACTAATTCTTGGAACTTTTTACATGAGCAAGTGGTGTCCTTATCCTCAACTGACTCATTTAAAAGAAGACTAGACACTCACGGAAGCATACTAGAAAAGGAATAACATAGGCCATGGGCCTTCTGTCCTTACAACACAAATCTGAATCTAAGTTGGCTAGTAGTTGTGAGGAATGAGTAGCACAGTGTGCCCATTCGTGATCTGATGCAGATGCGTGACCAAATGCTCCCAACAATAGTGTGTCCAGTAAGACCAATGAGGCCAGAATCAAGTGTCGAAGACTTACAGAATTATTTATGTTTGGGATTTATTTGCCTCAACAAGTCTATACGGACTCCGCTTTCCAATGTAACATGGAAAAGTGCATTAATAGGTCCTCAAGTTAGGTTCTTTTAAATGAGAAACCGATTTTTAAAGGCGATGAAAGAGCATCTCGCAGTATTTTTGAAAAATGTTCGGAGATTTACCTCAGCTCCAAAAGGAATGACGGAGATTGTTTCTCTCACCATTTACTAATGTTTCAAGGATTTAGGTTCTGAGAATCACAACTCTTTGTTGTTAAGAAACGTTACCTACTCCCCAAAAATGAATTTTAAAGAGCAACTGATTCACTACCTATCTGGGAAACTTTGAAGCTTGAATGACACCACTCCCTTTAAACGCGCTCAGAAATCAGTTTTAAAAAGAAGATGTTTGTGCTATTGGGGGTTTGGCTTTTGAAGCTGGCCTTAATTTGTAGTGGGCTAGAAGGTATTATAATCTGTGTAGTCACCGTTCTTTAGTTCGTCCTAAGGTTAATGGAGAAGTCGAAACTTATATTTCGGCGGTAAAACTGGAAGGTCTTCCATACACCAAGCGTTCAGTAAACATCTCAGTTTCCGTGACTGTAAAGTATGAAATCACAGGAGTTAAAGATCCATCCACTGTTACGTTGTCTTGGCAGCGTAATGGCGAAGAAATTTCTGTTAGCCGACGTAAGACAGGTGATGCACCTATCCTTTCCGGAGATTATTCCTCAGAGACATTCTCTGACACTACGCATACTTTGGAAGTTACTTTACATCTAAATCAAAAAGGTATTCTAAATAATATGCCTTACATAAATTAGGTCCAGTTCCTGGGAATTATACTTTAATTGCAACAATGGATGGGGTTACGTCTTCGGGTTCTGGCTTCGCATATAGTATGTTTTAAGTATTTTTATGAGCAGTGTTGTGGGTTTGTGAAACTCTTTATCTTGTTTTAAATTTTTTTACGGCGACTTCATCCCTACATTCGATGACATGTAACAGTTCACTTATTAATCGTGTATTCGTGATAAGTGAACTAGTTGACATGTTTCTAATACGGTATTACAGTTAAAGTCTCAGGAAACATTATTAAATGTAAGGCCTCATAGACTAGATTCAGGTGACTGGATAAAACTATCAGTCAGGCTTTTGTACAACAAATACTACAAATGTACTGCAAATACTGACTTTATCAACCTTATGACCAGTCTCAGTCAAATATTTCACAATAGAAGATGTCTGCCTATCCAGTGATCTTACTTGACGATTGGAATTCATTTGTTTTTGCAGCCACTAGGTGTTCCGCCACCCTTACTTGCAGATCACGATTGCTCCTCCTTATGTACGTGTTTCTGCACATACATGTAAATTGATAGACAAAAAGGGATGCAACACTATCTCTTACGTGTTGTTTGGGTTTTCGGTGAAACAGACCTTATCTTTTCTGTAATGACAAGTTAGGCTGCATAAAATGTCCTGTTGATGGCTAATTTAAGTCTCCGTCTCAACAGGAGACTATTTGAGTCGTCACCATGGAAAAATCGTGATTAATTATCATGTGTAATCAAAGGGCATCAATTTTGTAGGTTACTCGTCAAAAGATTAATGTTTGACCATTATGCTTAATCCTTCTCTACCATATCAACTTGACTCTGAATCAATGTGTTGCAAGTTCAAACCTCGCTTTGAGTTCAGCAACAGCATTGTACTTTCATTTCTGTGAACTGACTGGTCTTTATCATCTTGTATTTAAAATACCCAGTTTACCTTAATTTATGTTGTCCTTGAATTCAAAATCTAGAGATGTTTAAGTAGGGATAATTCACTGTTGATAAACCGACTGTTCAATGTTATTCTGTCTCCAAAGTTTGGTGTTTCATTGATAAACTGGAAATTTAAACAGTTTGTATTCAAATGTAAAACACATCATGCAGACGATTACCAGCTACTTGATTTTGTACAGATTGTTACTTTTTAGTAATCTAAATTTCATCCTTATACTTATGACCAAGAAGTCATTTGCTAATACGTACCTTCAGGGTAGTGTCATACAGGAAAAAAATAGTAGATGTCTAAGAGAGTTGAATTAGGGACTAAGATCTAGCGCGGTATAATACTAGGAAAAAGCATTTAAGCTTGAAGTCACACGTTTGCTTTATTTTTATGTAGTATTTTAAACTGTGCTTATGATCCAATAGTTGGGTACGATTCAGTATTAAAATACTAGAACGGATGTGCGTTAAATGCATAAGTATCAGCTGTCTTCGCGTAAAAATTTGGGATTAGAAAAAACAAATATATACTTACTACCTCTCATCCTTCAAAACTGCCATAAAAGCCTTGTAATCCTACGGTGTTTCGACACACTATCAAGCTGGTCTATCGGACTTTAACTAGCATGTGAAATAATGTTTTTTTTGTTTCTACTTATAATTCAACAGGTAGAAAACTACTCATTCATATTGTTTTTTTTCGCTCCCAGAATATCCTAAAATCATGGATATATTTTTGCATCAAATTTTTGTTGTAGCGTATGCCTAAGTATGGTGTTGTACTCCTGTAATACAAAATAATGCAACTCACTAACCATACTTGGATTTGTGAACCTAGAATAAGGATGTGTTATTGACCAAGATTCGACTATACTATCTGTTATTCTAAACCTTATTCAATGAGATAAAGTTAACCATTGGTCAGAGGCTTTAAATGACATGGCTCAAAACCGTTTGCAATGGCGCAGGTGCATCCACTTTTTGTCTTCTAAATTCTTTGGTTCCTATTAACTTTATTTTGTTGTCTTTATTTTAGATGCCTAGTCTTTCCTATCACCACTGATACTGTTACTACCTCCACTATTCTAAGATTTGACCCGCAAACTTCATCTTTCTGTGCTGATGGAGTATGGCGACCTGAGCCAATGTACATACGTACGAGTTTTACGTTGTGTCTGACTGAGGGAAAGTCAAACCTTTAATTTTAACGCGATCATTTCCTGTTTGTTTTAGAAACTAGACTAGCCATTTGTTTTAACAATCGGGTCAGTTGATTATCAACTGAAATTCATATCACCTGTTATTTCATACATTTCGCGTAAAAATCTAACTAGTTAGACTTGTAGTCTTAACCTTAGACTAAATCACCTTTCGTTGTTATTCACTATTACTCAGGCGCACCTGTTCTTCCATTATTCACTAAACCAAAACGTGTTTTGGAGGGTGATATCATGCGGCTGATTTGTCGTGTCAGTAGTTATCCTCAGCCATCTTCAGTTATATGGAGTTTTGCATCGATACAAGCTAGTCAAATGGATGACGACAATGCAATTAGTGCAGCTTTTTATAATTTGCTTCCTCTGTTGACCAATGAAACTCACTATGTTCTGGAAACAAGTGATGGTGGTACACTGAATGATACTCTCCGATTCTTGGATTTAAAAGAAAGTGATAATGGTCTGTATGCATGTAACGTTTCAACTGAACGCGGTTCTGATTTCGCCTTGATGATTGTCAATGTTAAAGGTAATGTTCAAGTTTGATTATAGTATTGTGAGTTTTATAACACTATTTAGTCTTGATTGAAGATATTCAATAATAAAAAGCCTGAAAAATTCAAACAAGGCATAATTGTAAGTGTATAAACTCAATTCACCGCATGACTAACAAGCAAACTGTTATCTGTAATTCCACTACCTCCTCATAAAAGTCAATTAGAAGGTTGGGTTGACTTGAGTTTATGGTGAACAAACACTTGATTCATTCTCTCAATTGAGTGGCTTATTTGCTAACTTCAAACTGTTTTGCTAGAAGAAATCCCTTATGGTGTTTTTTCACAAACCCAATGGTTTGGCTTTTTAATATATTAAATACAGTAAATTGATATGTTTAGCTCATAACTTGTTTGGGAATTCTAGATGACATGGTTTGTTGTTTTTTGAATGCTCAGTGATTAAACAAACGCTTCAGTAGAGAAATTTAAGTTCGGACTTTTACTTTATTTGTATCTATTTGCCGTCTAACCTCTCACATTGAGTGAAATTAATCAATGTGGACAGCAAAACTACCAAGTGAAATTTTTTAATCACTAAGCACAAATGAATCAACGCCATAGGATGATAACTTTGCCTTCAGAAAACTCGTGACGTTTGAATCTCACTTCACATGCACCAGTTTGGGCATCTTTGTGAGTATCATTAGGCCTTATACAAACTGATGTAGCTCGTAGTTGAGTACACCACTTTTGTTTATTTCTCTTTTTTTCACTATGGAACAAAACCAAAGGGTTTGGATAATGCTGTCTCTGATCCTCGTATAAATTATTTCATGATTATATTTTTGGCTGTTATTGAACTTATCAGTCTTATTCGAGTTATTAGAGCAGCTGCTAAAATTATATGGATGATATTCTCCGTTGTTTTCCTTTTTTTACCCATCTATCTATCCACTGATGATTTGATAGTGAATTTTTAATTGATGATATTATTACTTTTAAAACCATAATCAACAGTTCATACTTGAAAGCACAATATTGCTTGCTTTTCTTTTTCCAGTTTTCTTCAAACTTTATTCTTAACTGTATTTTAGATCGTTGGGCAGCTCTTTGGCCATTTATTGGAATTATTGTTGAAGTTACTATTTTAGTTGTCGCTATCCTATTATATGAACGTCATCAAATGCATTCAAAGCCAACTAATCTTAGCGCCAAATGTGATACTACTAGTGGTGCTGGTGCAGTTTCTGGCCAAGATAATGTATCAACAGTACCTAATAATAAAATTCAAGCCAATAATAATAATACAGGTCAAAATAATCTTACAATTCCTGTTCATGCTGGTGATGTGAATACTGAAAATCTTGATGGAAATGTTGAAGAAAGGTGAGTTTGGTTTCGTTGGGAAATAGTAAGCCATACAAACGTATCTATATTGATTGGATATCCATTAGTTATGAGGAAATAAACTATTGTATTTGTCGTTATTATCTGGCATATCAGTTTATTTTTAGCTTTATATTTGCTGACTAGTTGGTTTGACTACGCTTACTACCTACTTACTGACGCCTGTTAACCCTCGTGGAGGAGTATAGGTCGCCCACCGGCATTCGCTATCGAACTCTGTCCTGGGCAGTTGTTTCCAGCTGTTATTCATTTTTTCATGTGTGCTCCCAATTCTCGACGCAGTGTGTTCTTCGGCTTTCCCCTTTTCTGTTTCCCTTCAGGATTCCACAGTGTATTAATGTACTGAGAGTTCATGTTCAGTATATTCTACGCTTATATAATGTTTTGTTGACAATAATACGTGTGAGAGCATTGTGTTTTTTCACTGAACACCTTTTTAAAAGCAGTGCTTTTCATTTTCGCTCGTTCTGAAAGTAAATATTAGTAATGATGCATTTTCCTGGTGTCCTTTTTCATGATAGGAATGGTAGCATCGCTGTAAGTATTTTCATTGACCTGTTTTTTCAGCTTAACATCACATTTCAATGGGATAGTGTTTAGAGTAGTCAGCTTCCAGTCTGCATGTGCTTCTGGTCTGATCATCAAATCACGTACTTCGATCCGACCAGTTAAATAACAGTGTCACTAACCTTCATGCCGAAAATATAACTCAAAGATAAGTAGATAAACGTATACCTAGAGAGTGAGATACATTTATATATGCTATTAAAGGGGTCATAAATAAATGGTTTGACTCACCAACTATATGGGTTTATCTCCTTGTTTCTGAGTCATAATTTCTAGATATATTACCATTCGACCCACCAAACTGATGTAGTTGGAGTGGGGTTCAAACCTAAGCTCGTTAAACCAATAATCCACCTCTTAACATTCGAATGGAAACTATCGTAGAGTTTTTTCTCATAACCCTAGCGCAGTTCTGCTAATTGTATCTTACGTAAATCGCGTTTCTGACATGTGATAGAGACATCGATGTTCAGAATCCTGAACCATGTTGGCAGATGCAAACTACCTGGTTGGGATCCGTGTGACTATCGTAACCAATGGTTGGAGACTCTAGGTGACATGGCTCAGAATCCATCACAATGGCGTAGATGTATACACTCTTTATCTTCCTTTAAACCTTGAGATTAAAACTGCTTCATAACTTTCTTCCTTCCTATAATTTACCTTTATATACAACCTATCTTTTGTATACTACCACCACTAAATTAACTACTTCTATGAATCCGGTATTCATCTTGTTGTGCTAACGAGGTATGGCAACTTGGACCGATGCATAAATATGCCTGGTCCTACGTTGTAGCTGACTGACTGACTGAGAATACTGAAGCTTATCTGTTAATCACCATGAAAGATATCAAAATGTTGACTTGATGTGTTATACGTAAGAAGTGTTCAAAATTTCACTACTCAATCACTGAAGGTCAAAAATCACTGAACTGGTGTTACGTCGTAGTTTATGACTTTTTGAACATACACACTGGCGATCCCATATTGTGGATCGAAAGAGACGACTTTCATGATTGGGAGCCGAATCTCTGTCTATTCCATGTTAATCATCTACTGTCATCTGGAATAGTAGTCTGAGGAAAGACTAAGAGAAACCAGAGTTGTCACAGTATCTTCACAAATTAGAGAAGAATGCATAAAGGTCGTAGTTAGTAAAATTATTATTATTATTATTATTATTATTATTATTATTAGTAGTAGTAGTAGTAGTAGTAGAAGTAGTATAGAAGGTTTGTCGAGATTGTTGATATTTTGAGGAGGGATCAGATTATGAATTTATTTTGACTGGCATATGTAACTGTTTAATAAATGAGTGTTGAGAAAAACAAAGAGAATATATTATCATTCAGTGACACGATGGGTTACTTTAATTAACAGGTTAATTTTCAAAAGACCTAATGTATTTAGTTATTGTTATCGTAGGTATTTACAATGTCACACTCAAAATAATACATTCCTTGTAGTTGAAATGGTTCTCTTGTGTGTTAGTTGTTGTAAAAACATACTTCTCTTTGCAACAGTGTGTGATAATTTCAGGCACATCCCTACGTCAATGTTTATCCTGACAAACGGTATGGCTGGAATATGAATATAATAAACCTGGTGTATATGGGGGAATAAGTCAAAACATTCATTTATTGTCTCACTGCAATTTCAAGTGTTGATAAGTTCATGCCATACCACACGCAACAATGTATTTAAAAAAAATAATAATGGCATGATTAAAAAAACAGAATTTTTCTTGTTCTCCAGTTTTTTTTTCTTAGAAACTATGTTAATTTAATTAACTTGAAATTCAAATATTCATAGTTTTGTTTGTAACAAAAAAAACTTTCGTTTCCAAGTTTGTGATTTAAATCGAATTCGCCGTCACGTCCTTTGTGCATAAATCAGTATTTCATCTTATCGTTAGGTTTTTAAAAAAAAATTATTTATAAGTAAGCTTTTGATTGTTAAACATAAGTAACGAATGGTAATTGACATTTCTGTAAGACTTTATTTTCATTATCTTTTTCTCTTGATAATGGTGCGATTGTTTTGTGAATACCCAAGTGCCCTGATACGACCGAGAGTGGGGAGGGCCCTCCCTCTCTCTCGAAATGCTTTTACACGGCCATGCGTACGCAGCCTCTGCCAGGGAAGTCCTACTCACTGCCTTTTCGCGGCATCGCTGTTGTTTACGAAATTGAGGGGACGAGAAACGAATATCCGGCGCTTTAAACGGGTTGGTGGACATGGAAAGTTCACCTAGGGGAGTTGGAAAACCCTGATTCCAAACCAATGGTGCACATGGGCTCCAGTATCTTGAGGGGAAAATGGCGTATGAACCATGGGACTGCATCTTCTCACGATGTCCCACTGTCTTGTGGATCAAACCTTTAGGTCAAAGGCTCCAGGTGTGGCCACCTAAGAAAACCATCTTTCTCAGTTTGGGCACTTGAGTAGTATCCCAGCCCTCACACAAATCAAATGAGATTTGCGTGGCGCATATTTATCTGGTGTCCCCTTGTACCAATATTTATGTGTTTAAATAAATAAAATGTAATCAAGATTTGTACTGTTTTATGATGCAATGGTAATAAATCTTTATATGGTTGCGATAAGTTATTTAGTGGAAATTTTTAGTTCACAGATCAAGAATAAACTGGCCTGCGTCAACGCCTGAACTAAGGATATTGAGCGAAGTAGTCGAGCGCGTTGACAACTTCACTTATCTTGGAAGTCTGATCAGCCCTAATGGGTTGGTGTCTGACGAAATCTCAGCACGGATTCAAAAAGCTCGTTTGGCTTTTGCCAACTTACGTCACCTATGGCGAAGACGGGATATCCGTCTATCAATTAAGGGACGAGTATACTGCGCATCAGTTCGCTCTGTTCTACTTTACGGCTGTGAAACATGGCCATTAAGAGTAGAAGATACTCGTAGGTTACTAGTATTTGACCACAGATGCCTTAGAAATATTGCTCGCATCTGCTGGGATAACCGGGTAAGTAATAGTGAGGTTAGACACAGGGTATTAGGGAATGATGGTAAATCAGTTGATGAGGTGATGAATCTTCATCGACTGAGATAGTTGGGCCACGTGTTACGTATGCCTGAACACCGATTACCACGACGCGCAATGCTGACTAGTATTGGGGATGGTTGGAAGAGAGTTAGGGGCGGCCAAACTAAAACATGGCATCAGTGCTTGAAGTCACTAACTTCTAGTCTGAGCCATGTTGGTAGACGCAGACTACCTGGTTGGGGTCCGCGTGACTATCGTAATAAATGGTTGGAGACTCTGTGTGACATGGCTCAGAATCCATCACAATGGCGTAGGTGTATACACTCTTTATCTTCCCTTAAACCTTGAGATTAAAATTGCTTCATAAGTTTTTTCCTTCCTATACTTTATCCTTATATACAACCTTTCTTTATATACTACCACCACTAAATTAACTACTTCTATGAATCCGGTATTGATCTTGTTGTGCTAACGAGGTATGGCAACTTGGACCGATGCATAAATATGCCTGGTCCTACGTTGTAGCTGACTGACTGACTGAAGAATAAACTTATCTTATTTCATAAACAAGAAAAAGAAAGTTGGCTATGCAGTTAACCATGTTCTGTACATACACGCTAAATACGTCTACCACTTGTATGTGCATTAATAATGATCTTGATTTATAGTAGAAAGCATCATCTTTATACAAAATCAGTAATATTTTGTTACAACATTTGCAAAATTCCTGGCTGCCGGATGAAATGTATCTTTGATGCCAGTGATGCTGTTACTCCCTCCACTACATTAAAATTTTCTCTGACAGTTTAATCTCACTGTGCTAATTAGGTTTCTACTTCGTTTATAATTGACTGACAGATGAAACCTCATTTATTACAGATCATGAACCAATCAATGTTGAATCACCTTTGAAAGTCTAAAAGCACTGGACAGCCGTTTCGTCCTAATATGAAGATCCTTAGCACCACTGATGAGCCCCATACTGATAATAATCAATGGTTAACATGTCATATCAACAACAAGATTCATTTCACACATTTTTAGTTTTATTCTTAAAATATTTACAAAGACTGCTTAAATTTAGCAAATCATCCTTGGTATTTATCAAGTTGTAAAATAATAAATACTGATCTCATTCTCTTTTTTTTATCCTTGTAGAGACCAAAAAGTCGATGAGATTCGTTTACGTGCACATGTCAAATAATGAATGATTCATGAATTAAGCACCCATATTTTATTTCATCGTAACAAAAACCACAACAACAACAGCTATCCTGGTTAATGTTATTCAATGCGTAGATGCACACAATAATGGCTGGTGTAATTATTAAATAATCTGCTCATGTCTGCATAGTTTTATTCAGCACAGTTGAGTTGCTGTTTTTTTCCTAACTATGTGCATATTAGTCTCATTATCATTTTATTTTCTACTCGTTTTTTTTTCAACAAAAAATAAAATAATCATTAGAATCTCACTTTAGTTAAGATTTTTTTTGATTTATCTGTTTCTCAATACCTCCCCCTCCCCCCAATTTTTTACTCACTCTCATATGGACCTACACATTTTCCGTTGTGTGGTTCCGACATTTGTTCAATAATCATTCAGTTGATTATAACATTGTTTCAGCTCATTGATCAATCCGTTAATCGGTCCAGCTAGCCAACAATGCACGTACGTACATATGTTTATTCTATTCAATTCATTTCCACAACAACAAAAAACACATTTCAAATCAATAGTTTTTGTCTTAATAATTTGATAACGCATATTATTTTATTTTTGTTCTCTATTTGACCCTCATCTTTAAAAAAATGATTGTCAATAATGGTCTTTTTTTTTTAAAAAAAAGAAAGTATAGATCACCATGGTTTTTTAAGTAAGTAACGTGAATGTTTTATTATCATTATAGAAAGTTGATTGAAATTTTCTCGTTTCATCATTTGTTTGTTTTGTGATTATATTATTGGTTTAATACCAATAGTTATAATAAGCCGAAAACAAAGTTTAAACAATAAAAAAAAACATTTAAATTTATTTTATAGACAAATATAAACACTGGTTGATGTGCATGAACTTAGTAATATAAAGTAACCTAAATGTTATTGATTTAAAGTTTGTGAAATTGTAATATGCAGTGTATTTGTAAAAAAAAATTAGAAACACATATAGATAAAGTACGGTCGGTACGTACGGTATTCATTGTATAACGAGTGGTTGGTGAATGAGTGTGTTTTTTTGTAACCAGCTTATTATATTCGATTATGTATCAAGTTTTTAATTCTATAACACGTAAGCTAAAGTTAGTAGCTTCTATTCGGACCGTAAAGAGACTCTTCTGTGTTCTCAGTTAACACGATAAATCTGGCGGAGATTCAGACAAACAAATCTCGGTGGTAAACCCTTCAGGGCCTGCTGCTCTCCATCGCTTCAGATTTCCTATAGCTTTTTCAACCTCGTAAAGAGTTAGAGGATTTACATTAACTTGCCATTCAGGTCGGCTGAGAATCGTGGGAAACCGAAGTGTAGCTGAAGGCCAGTTGAACTGGTCCCTAAAGTGTTCTGCCCATCGATCCAATCTCCTCGATTGAGAATGAATGATATGTCCATCTTTTTCCGAGATAGTTTCTCTGATAGTTGGGTTCCTAATACCTGTTTCTTGAACAAGTCTGAATAGTTGTCTGCTGTTACCTATAGCTGCTACCTTTTCCATCTCTATTGCTTTCGCTACCCACCACTATTCACGATCAATGCGTAGGCTTCATATTAGCCTGCGCTTAAGCTGACTCTGCTCTTTGTTATGTTCAGAGCCAGATGGGATGAGTTTTCGAGCATCTATCAGTGTGGTAGATGCTTCTGAGACCCAGTGTTTCTCCCAAACTTTATGGTTTACCGCACTAGCAGATATCGGGTGTCATCTCACGCTGCCTCAGGGTGGGCACAACTTACAAGACTACCCAACTGTTTTTCTAGTTCCTGAAATTTATTCACAGCTTGCAGTGTCTTTCCTATGTCCAGTAAGACGCAGACAGATACGTGCTCGCACTAGAGCTTGGTCTGAATCTAAGCATATGATCCAGAATGAGCGACAGTCTTCTATCGAGCCCCTCCATCGGTGGCGGTGGCTGAGAGCGATGTGATCTAATTGGGTCCAACGTTTGGACGAATTCGGGAGTCGCCATGTCAAAAGGTTATTTTCCTTATGCTTAAAGTTAGTATTTGCAAGAAATAGGCGGTTATCTGAGCACAGCTGCAACAGACGGTCGCCATTATCTGTTCTTTCAGCCACGACACCATGAGGTCCACCCACATGTCTTTCCCTTTCACTTAGTTTACCTACTTGAGCAGAGACAACGAGTTTCTCTGTCTTTCCGAGTCCCTACTGTTCCGTTTAGTCGGACAGCGCATAAACGACTGTCTACTAAAAGAGCTAGTTCTGCCCCAGGACTTAATGCTATACCCACTCTAGCGAGAAGCAGCATCAGGGCTTTATTTTGACATGGTAAAGTCAAATGAATGATGCTACTCGGATCTTGTATGCACGTTTCGGAGACGCAGCACACATCGATGGTCTTAGCTAAGGAAGCCTGTTGTCCTATTTGGCACAATGTTTGAACGTTAAAAGCTCCTACATGTAGTTTAGAGCGTGGTTTCATGAGACCAGGAATAGCGTTCCGTGTACTCGAATCGTTTGCCCTAGCGGTGCGAGGTGATAATAGGGCTTGAGAACCGTTAGTCGTGGAGATAAGAGTTGTTAGAAGGAAAAATTTGGATGTAACCAACTTGGTCTCGTGTGCTGTTACGGGTATGAGGGCTAATATCACTTCCCGGCTCACCACACTGTGGAAGGGTATTTCTTGAGGGACCTGCAGAGGAAGTTGGATTAATGTTGGTCTTAACGGACTGGGAGCGTGATCGCAGAGTCCAAGGGACAACCGCCTGAGGCCAGTCACGCACAGCCTTTTGTGGGGAATTTTTGACGTGATAGCTCCGTTCTTCGAAGGGCCTTATCGCTGGAGACGGAAATCCTTGAGGTAAGATGGAGCGTGACATTTTCAGGGTCGACCTTTTTTAACCTCTTTCTTCCTTGTGAGAAGGCAGTATCGCTGCAGATGCTGGTTGTCCGAGGAAAACACCTTACTGCTATCACACACCCCTACAGTCAGCAGTACGACTTTGCCGTCGGACCTTGAGTTACTGCTTTAGTCTTACCATTCTCCAATCGACCTGTCTGGTATGGCAGAACCTACAGGAGCATACGTTCCAGCCAATTTAGCTCGGTCGGGTCATCACGGTAGGCAAGCCCGACTGCCACATCAGGGTAGCAGCTACGGTCCGGGTACAAATGATATACAACAAAATTTGGCTGAGCAACATATTTTGGGAACATTTCTGAATAATCTGTTTACAGTAAAAATACAGGGCGCGCTAGAAAACGCATAATTGCAAATTCCACACAGGTCGGTTGAGGAGTGGTAAGACTAAAAGCAGCAATCCGAAGGCGAAGTCGTACTGCCGACTGTACAGAGCTGTGACAGCGGTAAGGTGTTACCTTCAGACAACCAGCATGACGGCGATGCTGCCTTCCCACAAGGAGGGGTGGGGTTAGAAAAGGTCGACCATAAAAATGCACACCTCGCCTTATCCCACGGATCTCCGGCGGTAAGGTCCATTGAAGAACGGAGCTAACACTTCAAAAATCCCCCACAAAAAGGCCGTGCGTGACCGGCCTCAAGAAGTTGTCCCTTGGGCACTGCGGTCACGCTCCCAGGTCATTAAGGCCTGCACTAATCCAACTTCTTTTTCAGGTCCCTCAAGAAATACCCTTCCACGGTGTGGGCAGACGGGAAGTGATGTTAGCCCACTTACCCGTAACAGCACACGAGACCAAGTTGGTCACTTTCAAATCCTTCCTACACCGGGCACCAGATATATATGCGCCACACAAAAAATTACCATTTTATTTTAATTGTGTGACGGTTATGATACTGCCCAGACCGAACCAGGGTACTTCTTAGGAGATCATATTTACTGTTCAGAGAACATGTTGCTCAGTGTAAAAGACATGCTTACTTTAGACATTTATTTCCAAACGATTACTGACTTGTACTATGCTGTTTACAGTACGAACAACGAAAATAAGTCTACGGTTCTACTCACTGTCGTCATAAGTAGGACACAAATTACATTAAAGTTTCCGGTTAATGAGCGAATTTTCTATGGAGAGATGAGCGCAATCATATGATGTGGTCGAGTGTTGGTTGCCACTGTCTTGAGTCTCCGAATATTTAAGAACCAAAGTCCTTGCCGCAACGCTTAAATTTTGAGCACTGTCAGTCCGAGTAGTAACTCTTGTAACTGTATACGATGGGCTCTCATGGCTAACTTTCCGCGAACAGGAAAGCACTTCAAATAAATTCGGTTTATCTGCAGTTGTAGTGAACGTCCGAACTAGATACTGCACCCAGACAGGTAACTGTTGTCGCTGAAATTCAGATAGGTAGACCACGTATTTCGGATACAAAACCCTTTCAGTTATTGTTCGGTAAGTAGCTTTGATAAACAGAAAACTAAAGTGCACCTCACGGAGGATTTCGACGTTCATTTCTATTAATTCCATGCGTAGGTTACAATGACCAATTACATGCAATATCATTCTCATCTTAATGAAGCAGCCGTTCACAAAATTACGAAACTTTTAGCTTTAAAACTGCTAATTGATACACGGTTCCACCATCATAACAACAAACCTAGATAATATCAACAATCCGGACAATGTAGCAAAAACTTCAATCACGACAATAAAACAACTAAAACATATGATAAGATGATGTAACTCATGTTCATTCACTGGACTTATACAAAAATCCTCAACAAATAGTGGAGAATATAGGTGGGCGAGATTATAATTTAAGGACGACCTTTGAACGAATCTGAAGTGACCTTGAGAAACATTAGCCAATCAGGTGACAGTCAACATAGAATAATATATTATGTAAAAACCAAATAATTAAAGTGGATACATCTCTTTTATATGGTCCAAAAATTTGTCAAGGTTAGAAAATGGTTCAAAGCTTTTAAAATCGTAATGCATAAGGTAGAGGAAGTCATCCACATGGCTCTATAATAGTTGGTTTCTGGAGCCATGATAAGGTCATAAAAACCCTCTCAGCCTTGACCACATAGCTTAAATATTGTATGTATTCCGGTTGTGTAAGTTTATCATTTTAATTATGGATATGTCCCTACAATGCTCATACTACAGCACAGCCGAAGCTTCAGTAACATCTGCGATCTTTGCAGCCAATGTTACTGGTGCTTTTATTATACAGTTGGCGGCAATTATTATAATATGCCTTAGTCTCAATCTGGATCGAGCGATAAAGGATCCTACTCTAGCAAACGTCTTCCTTCAACATATATTACATCGAAGGACATCACGGTAACCCGCACAACGTCTACAAGCCATTTAATACTCGCAATTACAAATACAGCAATTTCTTAGTGGTTTCATTTGTTGTAGCCGCTTAATCGTCAAGTCTTCTCTAAAATTCTCTGTAAACCAATCGTACATGAGCATCAGGTACTGTAGTTGGCGCTTCTGATTGGCTCGTCCATAAATTATAGTCTCGCCTATAAGTGCAACGTTCTAAACGTGACTGGGTGAAGTGTCAACCTATTACTAAGTCCTAGATGATTTGGTAACTGACAAACACGTTTAATCTCCCATAACTTAGTTTTACAGCTGAACTAATTAAACTTGAAACCTAATAGATGAAATTAAAAAAGTATTTCAACAGCTTACTCTTTCGTTCATTATGGATCACAATAACAAGAAACCAAAAGACAAAGTGAAAAAAAAACAATCAATTTAATTGGTGCAAGTAAAGTTGGGGCATATTTCTGAATAGTTTGATATTTAGAGCAAAAAGAGTATCAGAATACACTTTTTTTAAATAAAACATATTTTTTGTGTTGATTAAGTTCATGTTAATCTTGACTTAATCAAAAACAACGTAAATTTATTATAACAAATTTTTTTAAAATTAAGTACTTCAGTTATTTTTGTTTTTCAAGAAAATGCGAAGTAGAAAGATTAAGTGAAATAATACCAGTAAAGAGTATTATTATTAATAAGCAATGTAAACAAGTTATAGTTGAACGGTCAAGAAATAAAGACCATCTTTTTTCTTTAATCTTCATCACGATTACGTCTCTAAAAAAGAAAGAATTGATAATATAATTTAGAAGGGGTTTTTTGTGGAGATTTAGTATTTTCATAATTAAAAACGCAAGTCAATTGAAGCTAGACCACCATGGAAAACTTGGAAACACTGGGCGGCCGTTTCGTCCTATTATGGGACTCCTCGGTTAAGGACTCTGGGTCGAAACTGGTAGGTCCTGGGTTCGAATCTTGCGAGGCGGGATCGTGGATGCGCACTGCTGAGGAAACGGCCATCCAGTGCTTCCAGGTTTTCTATGATGGTCTAGCTTCAATTGACTCACGCTTTCAACTATGAATATAAATTAGATCTGTTCAATAATTCATTTTAAAAATCGAAATATGTAGACGCTTTTATTATAGTGGTAATTATAAGAAATGTGACTGGCTTGTTAATAATACTTGCTGCACACTTATTTAGCTTATGCAAAAAGTCCTTGATACTCAGTTTTATACAAACATCTTGAAAACCAAAAGCTGATTATAATATTGAATAAAACCATTAATAATAATACTAACACAATAGGATTATTACTATCATGTAGTAAATAAACAGTGGAAGTACTATGCAAAATACAATAAATAACTGTATAGAACACTTCAATCACTTGCAATAATAAGAATATACAGCCCTATTTATTACTGTGTTCTTAGTTGACAGCAAAACCCTTAACATTTCACATGCAAAATATAATAATGATATGTGGAATTAGGAACATACCCTTTTAGAGTTGAGGATTATAAGAAGATGACGGAATATTTCTATAAAATCAATGAACAAATCCAACGTGTGCCTAAAACAGAACAGAAAACAACAAGAATTAAGAAAAATATCAGTGAACGCTTCATGATATTTTACAGCGAGTCTTAATATGTAACTTGTTGAACTGTGATAGTCAGGTGAACATCGTATTAGTCCTGTGTTGAGTGCATGTTTCATTTCTTAAACATACATACTGGACCTGCATGCACTGATATCCACATGATTGACTTGTAGGTCAGGAATACTAAACCAAAACAAGTAAGTTTTTAGTCTGGCAGATAAGGTATCAAACTGATCAGTGGTTGAAACCTATTCAGGTGATGGAACAGACATTAATATTGACCGGTGTTGAACGTGAAACATAAAAGTGGTTATTAACACGGTCTATTTTGGTAATTTTTTATTGGTATAACTTCAAATTAGGCATATCACAATGACTAGGTAATTTGTGTTTGATGCACAAGCCATGACAATTGTGGAGTGATGTTTGCAAGGTCTTGTCTATTTTTCGACTATCTGTATCTTATTATTAATTAGTTAGAATGGAAACTTTGTATGAAAGGAACACTGAGAATTGTAATTGTTGTTGAAATTTGTCGCGTATTTTTTCTGAAAGTAATAGATTTCTTGTCTATTTTTAGTTGATTTTCTAACCAAACAATGTTTCATAGCTGACGTTATCATTTCCTAGATATTGGGACTTCATAGTTATTGAATTATTTAAGCTTTTCTCCAGATGAACTTCCATCAGTTTGTATATTGAAAACTTATAAGCTTGAAGCGGTACCCACTTTTAAAAACATAACACTGTATTAGTCTATTTATGACCTTATCTTACTGAGAGAATTCAGGTTTGCACTATGATATGATACTCTAGTAAAGCACTCCGTATCGAACTGAACTTAGTTGTAAAATCTCTACATGTAAATGATTCAAATTGAACACTCAAGATCTCAAACAGATTGAAATGGAACCATATACCAGTAACTAGATGTTGCACAAAGAAACTGACACCCGAATGAAAGCGATATGTTGACTGTTTTTTTAAAATTTTGTTTTGATCCATTTACTGGTGAGCGGATAAGTTGGCTTTACTATTTTGAAGAGAAGGTAGATTTGAGTTAGTGTCATGTCGCATTTGGCTTTTCATTGCAATGAATGTCATTTATTGTTTCTTGCACTTTATCATGTTAATATTCTCTCTTTTGTACTGATGTCTGACAACCTGGATAGATAAACTTTCGTGTCAGGCTTTATGTTCCCTTTGATATGTTGCATTAATCCTGATTCGACATGCAAATTGTATGAATTCTGATGTCAATAAATAGTGAAAGCTCTACCATGTAACTCAGTGAACTCACCATACGAAGTCAGTATCCCCATTACGGCGTTTTTCAACAATTAATTGGGTATCGAAAACCACAAATGCACAAAATATAGCCAATCCAATGTAGAGTTCAGCGGTGTATATGGCCGGAGAACGAATAAATAAGTTCATGAAGCTAAATGTTGTCAACAAACTGATTGCAGACATCAAGGCAGCTGTGTGACAAAGAAAAAAATTCCAATGCATCTACATCAAAAAATCGTATTAGCAATAGAATTACAACTATCTAGCTAGTTATTGTTTAAATTTTTGTCCCACTGTGATGATAAATATCCAACTCTAACAAACTTCATTTGTATAGGTTGTAAACAGATGAGAGAACCCAACCAAACAAAATGAAATCCTGTCAATTTACTCAAAACTTTATTCTTACTATCGTCAACACGCGACATTAACAAATATAAATTAAATAAAGACAGAACAAATATTAATGCAGAATAATATGAATTCATCAATGCATCAATACTTGTTCTGTCTTTATTTAAATTCATAAAGGGAACTAACTGCATGAAATATAAATTAACTGTTTCTTCATCACTAGTTACATACTAGTAAAGTCATCGGTCATTTTGTATTTTACGAATTTACGCACACGTATGGCACAAAGCCGAGTGGATAAACCTGTTTCTGGTAAATGAGTTAAATTCAAATGGTATAGCTAAATGAAATGTGTTGGTATCATCGATCAAACACAAACTTAGGTATGTAAACGACGCAGAGTAATTTAGTGGTTAACATGTTTGGTTACCAACCTATTCGCAAGTTAGAACTCCGTCCCACTTCGTTTTGGGCGAATACGCAGCATTACTTGTCCTCAAACCTAGAATATGACTCGAAGCTAAGTAAAAGAATCTGTACTCGAAGATAAGCAGTAGATTAAATAAATAAAGTGTGGAGAACAATTTTCTAGTTAATGAAGACAATAGTTGTTGATTTTGAATTAACGAAAATAACTTATACGAGCTAGGATTTAGATTTAACTGATATTTTATTATCGGGACAACACAAGCACTCACAGTATCATAAATAGCATGCCTTCGAGATTAAGACGTCCATCATCAGGGGGTGACTTTTCTAATTACAATATTTACATAACAAAAATTATAAACAAATTGGTGGATTGAACATGATATATTACTCAATACAATCACACATTCTCTTGTAATGAATAGCTTTCGGTCACTCGAAAGTGGAATTCTAACATAGAAACATTGTCTGTCCATAGACAAACATTGTTGTGAGATGCCAGTGTTTGAAAAGGCAAGATTTCGCCTGCTCATTGAATTACAATAAAGATGATTTGACCCAGTGGTCAGTTTCGATATACGTTAGACCAATTAAGAACCTTAATTTATGATAGCCTAAAAAAGCGCTAAGCAGCACACATCTACTATACCTTGATAACAGAGTCGTATTATTGGTTGATGTGTGGATACATTTTGACATTACAAACAATTCGCATCATACATAGGGTGTAAGACCAAAATAATCTATGATGGGCGTATTATGATGTTTTTGAAGTGCCAAATGCAAACTCATATACAACTTTAACATTGTTAGACATGAAATACATCAGCATTTGCTCTGTTACACAAGGTGGCTGGGTTAGGAAACAAATAAAACAAGGCAACTAAGCCATGAATAAAACAAGAAAAAATTACAAACTCACCACCAAGATAAATGTAATATCGTTTTCGTGTAAACAGTGCTGCTAAAGTGAATGAGACGAAAATCAAGGCAGTACCCAAAAGGGCAGTTGGAATAGTATCAGGACTGATTATTGACAAAGCTTGAAGAAGCGGACCGAAACCAATACCTAGAATGAAAAGAAATAACTAGAATCTGCATGATGTAATGAACTAGTCTTACGCATTTAACTTATAAAAACTACCACTCATTCGCCATGGTCGACATGACCGCACTTTAATAAATACTATTTTAAAAAGTTTGTATCCTAAAACTCTGTTATTCTAAGAAAAGCAAATTTAAGCAGTTTTTATAGGAGGTTCGTAGAGATCCTTGATAGGGTCGTGGACAATTATTGCTGAGGAATCTTTTACTAGGATGAAATAGCTGGTCGATGCTTCTTGGATTTTCAATAGCCGTCTGACTAATATCAATTTGTAAACTATCAAATAGTTTCGTTGGAAAAGCGACATTATACTGTTAGATGGAATGAAATGAAGCTAATGACATAGACCTAATCATAAGTCGAATGAGTATGTATCAAAGTAGTATGAAATAATTAAATAGACGCCTATGAACAGCAAACAATTACGCGAGATGAATTAGCCTGAATCAGAGGTAAGAAGCCCTCAAATGCCCTGGTAGGGCTAAGAGTGGGGAGGGTTCGCTCTCCCTCTCCAAATGCTCTCACATGGACACGCGTACATAGCCTCTGCCAGCTACTACTATCTGCTTTCTCGTAAAGAGGGTGTTGTTTGCAAAATTGAGAGGGCGAAAAGTGAATGTCAGGCGCTTTAACCGTTTATTTATTTAAACACATAAATATTGGTACAAAAAAGCACCAGATAAATATGCGCCTCACAAATCTCATTTGATTTATGTGAGGGCTGTGATACTGCCCAGGTGTCCAGACTGAAGCAGGTGGTTTTCTTAGGTGGCCACACCTGGAGCCTTTGACCTGAAGGTCTAATCCACAAGGCAGTGAAGCATCGTGAGGAGATGCAGTCCCATGGTAGCCGGTGATCAACGATTGATTCGTACGCCATTTGTTCCTTCAGGATACTGGAATCCATGTGCACCATTGGTTTGGAATCAGGGTTTTCCAACTCCTCTAGGTGAACATACCGTGAACATTCCCCCAACCCGGTTAAAGCACCGTACATTGGCTTTTCGTCCTCTCAATTTGGTAAACAACAGTAATGCGACTGTGAGAAGGCAGTGAGTAGGACTTCCCTGGCAGAGGCTATATATTCGCTGGCCATGTGTGAGCATTTCGAGAGGGAGAGCGGACTCTCCCCACTCTCGGCCGTACCGGGGCATTTGGGGGCTTTAACCGGGTTGGTGGACACGGAAAGTCCACTTAGAGCGTTGGGAAACCCTGATTCCAAACCAATGGTTCACATGGGCTCCAGAATCCTGAGGGAACAAATGGCGTATGAACCAGTTGTTAGTCACCGGCTACCATGGGACTGCATCTCCTCAAGATGCTCCACTGCCCTGTGGATCAAACCTTTAGGTCAAAGGCTCGGGGTGTGCCCCCCTGAGAAAACCACCTTCCGTTTGGGCACCTGGACAGCAGCACAGCCTTCACACAAATGAAATGAGATTTGTGCGGCGCATATATATCTGGTGCCTCTTTGTACCAATATTTATGTGTTTAAATAAATAAGAGGTAATAAATGAGCTTATGTAGTTCGTGACACATGAGGAACCAATTACTTGGAAAGTGACAACTATGGATTAATCCAAACTAACGTGACCCGCTTATACTATAAGTAGAGGATTATATTATTTTACTTATATTTGTTGCTTTCTTAAGTTATACAATTCTTTATGAGACGGTTCGACGGATAACACTGTCACGTTACGGATTGAAGAAAAACGAGGCAGGCAAACTAACATTTTGGAACTACACTCACAAGAAACTCTTACCTGTAGAGAAACAGAACAAGAAAAAAGCACCAAGTCTAGAATGAAGGGTTTCTCTCGAGTGTTGCGTAAAATAAATGAACAGAGAGCTTCCAAGGGATAAAATGAATGACAAAACCATCAGAGAAGTTGTAATAGACTGAAAAAAAGTAGTGGGAAAACAGTGTTCATAATATTATGGTGTGTGATATAATACAAAAATAATTATAAAACTTTAAGTGGGATTCTGAAAGAGCAAGTGTGACACACGAAAACAAGTATGAATCTAACTTTTCCAGCCTTGGGACATCCTTCAAGTTAGCACTTACGCCAAATGCTTTTTACCACTGTTTTCCTTACAAGCAGTCTTATTGGGTTCAAACAGAGCCCTGCTATAACAGAACCCATGAGACTGATATCACCAGTATTTAAAACACTGGATGCACTAATGGACGCAATTGTAACCGATTTCAAATCATACTATCCAACGTTTCTGACTAGTGGTTATGATAATCGTATAAGTTCTAAGCTGGAAGTCTATGACTACCCGAACGGTTCACTTTAACAGCTAATGAGTTTGAGGACCAATGCCATGTCTTTACCTACTATTAAATTTATTAATTCATTTGAATATATAAACACTGATAAAGGGGGGACACCAAATGCATAAGCGCGACACAGTAACAATGAGGTTGTGAAGAGATAGAGAATGTAAAATGAATATAATAAAGAGGATATCAGTGGTCAGAAATTAGTGTATGAGTGAAATAAAAATAATGGGAAAATCAGTTCAGTTACGAAAAATACAACCGGAAAGAATTCTTTCGGTTAAAGAAGTTACGTTTACTCTAATGAAGTAGAAAAGAAGTTACAGTAGGATAGCCACTGATTTCTAGTTTGAGCCATGTCTGATAACGTCTCTAGCTACTGTGTTGGACCGTTTCTAGGACCCTAACCAACGATTATTGAACTTTGAATTTACTAATATCAGTTGTCATTGAGGACAGTAGTAAGTGATATTTGGGTATGAGTAACATGCTTCAAATGCAAGACGATGAAGGTTCATGGACTTATTGTCTTTCTAGGTAAAACCTCATACGTGACACAAGAGTCATCTACTTTGTAATGATGCCGTATGTGAACAATGTTACGAAAACGCTCATAATTGGACAATTGCAACCTAAATGTTTCCTCATTTCATAAATTACATAGATTTGTCAAGAAGCACATCCTTGGAGTTGTGAGAAATGCCACGACTTATACTTTGAAAACTAGTTATCCAAAAATGATATCAAATTTTTTCTATATTATGCTGTGAGAAAGCTACTTGTTTACACTTGACTTTTCCAATTCACAATAACCGGTAGGACCACTTCATAGTTTTTTCTCTTTTCTGTGATGAAATATGTCATCACACATGAGCGTACTAAAACCAGTTTTTCACATGACGTCTTTAACTAGAGGCTTACAAAAATACAACAGAGCTGAAAAGCTTAACAGTAGTACTCAATTATTTAAGGGTATTTTTTTATTAAAAACTAAACTGAATACTAACCTAAGTAGAAAGAATTTGTTAAAGTATGTAGTTGACGAACAGGAATTAAGTTTCTTAGTTATTTAGTTATTCTCGACTCACCAAACAAATCTTAGGTTAGTTGGTATCAACACAGAACCTGGTACAAATGTGAGCCAGTCAAAGTTGCTTTATCATTATCAGATGAAATTAACAACAGTAAACTGAAATGTAGTAGTAATGAAACTAGGCATTAAGAGCATGGTTTGTAAAGATTAAAAACGTATACATGAACCAATAATGACACTCGGAGTCTACAGCAAGATAAAGCAAATGCATCTGTCACCAAGATCGATCCTGGAACGTCACCCATCGCCTTCAAACGATGAACGGCACTGCTGTGCAGATTGAAACCAGATGAACACAGTTCAGTTCGACAAATCAATGGATAACGCTTATGACCGATTTCCGGAAGAACCTAATGCTTTAGCATAATCAATCTAAGACGGTGGTTGTTCTCTATATACTCTCGAAGGGGATAAGGTTGTTATTAATAAAGTCACACCCCACAACACCGCTTTGAGAATCATGTTCTAGTGGGCGATACAGTTTATTATCTGCAGGTACAAGTCGGATAATTTTATGTAAAATTGGACGATTCACAAGTATTAGCAGTGTCACTCATAGATAAGACGACTGTAGATTTCCCGGTAGCATTGAAAAACAAATGAAACCTAATGATTGGTAAATGAATACAGCATACTGTATTACTGTGCATCCAAATAGTAATATTATTATTGCAATTACTACACATTGGTCTATAGCCTTACTATACAGGACCGATTAGTAACAGCAACCAGTCCACAACTTTACTAGTATTTAATATTAAAGTAACTCACCTGCAGGAAAGAGTTTATTTGGAATAGGTATGCCCCAACACACGATAATATCAAACCAACAGAGAGTGTACTGTATACGTTCTTAAGATGGACTTGAACATTTTTGTCGCTAAGGTGGCATAAAGCTGAGTAAACAAGAAAACTTACAGATCTCGAAAATTAAAAATAGTCCCCAGATTCATCCTTTGGGAATGTGAATAGCGCGACATAACCAAATGAATATACGTGTACTTAGAACGAACGAAGCTTTTTAAAACAAGGGCGTACAACTTTCAACAGCTTCCTTTCACATTTCAATATGATTGAACGGGATAAGAATACGCTGATTTACGTTTTATTTCTTAGGTATTGGTATTAAAGTGTAACTTTTGCTCCTTGAAAATGTCTGGTGAATGGTCTGGCAAAACTATTTTGTAGATAATATATGTAGTGTTATATAAGCTAAGGAATGTCGCGATTGGAGGCAATCTATTGAGGTGGATAAAAGATTTCCTAGTTGGGCGTCAACAAAGAGTAAGGGTGAACTCCAAGTTATCTAACTGGGAAACTGTGCTTAGTGGAGTCCCTCAGGGTACAGTTTTGGGGCCAGTGTTATTCCTCCTGTACGTAAATGACTTCCCTCGTCTTCTATCTCCATCGGTCTTATTGTTATTATTATTATTATTATGTCTTGCTCTATGCTGACGATGTCAAGATATGGAGAGCGATACAAAGCAAGGGCGATAGCTTAGAATTTCAAAATGGCCTTGAGAGATTATCTGAATGGTCCCAAACCTGGCAATTGCCGATAAATACTTCCAAGTGTATTGTGATGCATATTGGCCATCAGGGTATAGATACATGCACGATGAATAACATTGAGCTACCTATTGTCCAGGCACACAATGACTTGGGAGTCATCGTTAGTCAAGACTTAAAGACTACTGCACACTGCCGTGCAATAGCCGCCAAAGCTTTTACAACTTTATGGTCCATACATAGGGCTTTTAGTCATCTCCACCCTAAAACGTTTCTGACTTCGTATACAGTGTTCGTGTGTCCCAAACTTGATTACTGCATACAAGCAGCTAGCCCCTGCCTAAAAAAAGACAGTGAGCTCCTGAAACGGGTTCAGAAAACAGCAACTAAACTGAAGCTCCCGTATGATACTAGACTGACCAAGCTAAATCTATTCCGGCTGTCATATAGAAGAATCAGAGGCGACTTGATTACAGTTTTCAAATTGCTTAGTGATAAATTTGCACCTGATATTCCCTCATTTTACTTGTCTCCCAAAACAGAAAATTTATGAGGACACTCTAAAACAGTTCACAAGCTCAGAACGAATTACTTGTCAGCTGACTACCGACTTTCTCATCGAATCATCAACGAGTGGAACTCATTACCTCAGCACGTGGTTGAGGCTCCATCTGTCGACTCTTTCAAAAGAAAGTTGAATCAGCAGAGTGACCATCATTGCCAGGACTAACACAGGCCATCAAGCCTCCTGTCCTTTTCAAACTGAAACTGAAACGGTTCGAACTGTTGTACACGAAATAGAAGTTTCTGTCAAATAGGTCCTTATGTTTATGAACAGTTGATTACTGGCACTTCTAAATTGATCATTAGATAGTGAAACGAACAACAGTGAAACTGTTTTTGCAGATCAATGTTATACTCTGTATTTGGAATATATCAAGTTTCCACCAAGAGGACAAAAATTAAGGCTTGTTCTTTGAGGACTGCAGATTTAGGCTGTAATTTTGCCGCATGGAGATAAACAAATTCCTGGATAGCAACTAGAGGAAGGAGTTCGACGATTGTAATAAGCGACTCGATCATTTGGCTAGAATTGCCTTTGGAGTAAGTCCACCGATGAGATGCGTATAAATTCTGAACTCAATTAGCTTCAAACTAAATGCAACTGCACAAATCAAAAGATATTATTCAAACAATCAGTCAAAAATTGCGAATTAAAGGTCGTTTCTACCTTACTATGTTGATAATGCTACACAAGCTGAATTTCATTGAATTCTTGACTGCCATGTGAATCTACACCGCTTCTCGAAGTCTTGGATAATGATAAATGATCACTAGAAACACACAACTTAATGGGATCATAATCACAAATTTTAGCACTAGTTGTAGCGAGATGAACCGTATTATTACAAACTGACTTAATGTGTCCAGTTTTACCACATTTAAAGCATTTAGAATTACGAAATACGCATGAATTACATTAGTGAAACTTGCTACAGAACAAGCATTTACCAAACTTGTGCTAATCTTTGTGACTTGCTTCATGACTTCTCAATGAATTGTTATCTGGATAACCTTGATTACGTATTGAACTGAGACGACATAGTGAAGGAGTGGGATAACCGATATTCTGAGGAGTCATTTTATGAAATTCTTCTCTTTCACTCCATTAGAAATTTATACATTTCACATGGTCTAGTACTATTTGCTTGAGATTTGCATAAGGGAGTGAAATCGGCTTGTCTGGAAATGCCAAGGTCTTTATGAGGCTGCATGATTCTTTCCCGATGGACGTAAGGAAACGAGCCACAAAGTTAACATCCTCGAAATTTTCCTTGGTCCTGGTTCAGATTTCAAACCTTCTCATGTAATCCTCAAAAGCACCAAAATCTGAATGTATGTCTAATTGTCCCATCACAGGACCCTGCTCGCGACTCCTATATAATGAATAGTACTATAATTATGATACAAATTAGGAATCCCAGAACTAAAGCAATTTATTCAAGAAGTACTAGATGATCACGAACGAATGTATTGTATTTGGAATTCGAAATCAAGCCGTCATGAATTACAAAGGAATCGTACGTTCATACATACACCATAAGGACATAGAGCAGTTTCTTGAATTTCTTCTAAGGTAAAGATAAATGATGAATAATCAGTTAAGGATCTCTCGCTTCATGAAACAGTGCCCTAACCACATGCTTCTCTAATATTTTTTCTGTAATATAACATCTAAGTGTTGTATGATTCGGTTTATTTTAATCAATCACTGAATTAGCTACGACCCCGGAATACCACGACTGGATAATCTAGACTATGCATATATCTCGGGGTTTGACTCTGATGAAAGCTAGCAGTTCACACCATTTCCATCCAACTCTAATGGGCTCACTTACCATCTAAGTGTCTCGTAGGATTTAGGTCAAAAGTCGGCATTAGTGCACCTGTCATACGATAATAGTGATAGACCCTACCCAATAGTGTGGAGATGCAAACAAGTAAAGACCTGGTTTATGTGATCTTACGTTGATGTGACATCGTTGACTATCCCAAAATGCTCATTTCTGGGAGATATAGATACCTTTTGGTAAGACCGTAGAATAAATACAGTCTCACCAACAGGACAACGTGTTTAACGTAAAGATGGAACAAATAAACTTGGGGTGACCATTCTCGTATACCCAACCATTCATGTTCCGGCCATGTTCCTGCATCAGCCTTCTGACCTTCACTATTTTTTTTACAACATTCAGTATTTCATCGCCTATTGTAGAAGGCTGTTCGGACTGATAAGTTATTTTTGGTGAGGGTTCAGTGTCATCTCACAGTTTTAACACTCATGAGCCTGAATATCATGGGTTCCATTTTTATTCTTGTATTTTGAACTCCCTTGTTGTGTCTGCTAAATTGCCCTAGGACAGAAAACAGCAAACACACTTCATTCACAGTCATTTCCTAGAGTCGTGTACACCTTCGTCTCGTTTTTTCTTACATTAGAGTAAGATAGATATCAAATTCCTTAATGCTAATGCCTCTCGTTTTCGGGTTAGGCAAATGTCCCTGGAATCATCGGGTAGAATTCTACCGTACACTGTACGGGATATATCAGCCGCTTAATAAATTAGGTCATGTGGACTGAGTACAACTTTTATTATATACATTTATTATTCCTGAAGAAACTTTAGACATTATAATAAAATTGGACTATTCTTGCGACTATCTTATCATCTCCTTCTTTTTGAAATTCTTTCACTGTTTCTGAATAAGACAGTCTTCGTTCGCTATCACCTACTTTTTCGTGGTAATAACTTTAATGCAGATTCATGTGGTACTGCTTCTGTTCCTCATTGTATCATTCCTGGCATTTCCATCGACATCTTTAAAACATCCAGGATGGTGTCCAGGCTCTTCTGTTTCCTTATGATGGTCCTCTACGTTACTATGGGGATGGAAAAAGCAGACATTTTTCGTAATTAATTTTGTTACTATTTTTATCTTTCATCAATCCTCACAACTTGCGCAACCATCATCATTGCCTGTAAAATTGTCGTTTGAAAGCATGACCTTAAAACTTCTGTTTCGGTTAGCGAACACATATAACATGACCCACTGATTACCACTAAAAAATACACTTTTGTACACATAGGCTGTCCTGATTTCTGGTCAGACCAATTTATTCATTCTTTCCAAACCACCCATTGACCTTGTCACTGATTTATTAAACCTGAATACCTTTATACAATCGTATTTCTGTTGATTGCTTATCGTATTCGTTACGCGTCAGTAATTTATTTTTCGTTTGACTATAAATATTGAGTAAGGCTTGATGAAATCGAGTTTTCTCAGTTATCTTCTTTGTTTCGTTCCGCTTCTCTCCCTTCTTCACTTCCTTTGCCGCGTTTCCGTGATTATCTGTTCCGGTCAACGATTGTATGAAATAAATGTATTCAAACCCCACTCTCGTATTTACCTTATAAAATTCTGTTATTCACTGACGCGACTCAACTTGATAAAATATACGAGGATAGCCGACATGTATATTTCGATGATAACCAGCATACAATCCAACTGAAGTCATATACGGGCAGTGTCCAAGACTAATCTGTTTACTTCTCTTGGGTTCATTTTGGTATTCTATGTAACTGGTTCCTGTGACATATTCACCTCTTTATTTCTGCTGCCACTTCAAAAACGACATTTCCTCTCTAACCTACTATTTCCCCTTTTGCCAAAGCTTTTTCCTAGGTCTTTAGCAACGGATATACACAAATTTTTCAGTCATATGTGAGAATCCTTCTTTTTGTCCTTTCATCTCAGTCGTTTTTACCACGTCGTTTATTGTCCGTAGATTTCGTCCCATAAGAGCTTCCGCCAGTGACTTTTATTGTGGTGTTCTATTGTTAGATGTACTCTGGTATGTGAGTAGGAATCGTTGGACGAATTTTTTACATCCCTTTCTCCTTTTGCTTTCAAAACAACCCTTTTAATTGTGTCTACAAAATGTTCAGATTGTAGATAGTATGGTGGAGAGAGCATGCGAACGATAGCACCTAGATTGCAACAATCAGTAAATGTCCTGGATGCGAATTGGGGTCTGTTATCGGTGACCACAGTTTCTGGAAGTCCGTGGCACGCAAATATATTCATTAATACACCTAACGTTTTCTGCATCGTTGAAGGCACCACTGGGTGGGTATAAGGTCACTCTGAATGCGCATATGTTGACGCTAAATAGTACATTCTCTGTGGGACTTGCAAAATACAGATGTTTTCTCGACCATAGATGTTCTGGTTCTGGCCAATTCAACCTTCTCTGTTTTTTTTGATGCATTCTGATACTGTTCACACTTGTTCACCATGTCTCCTACTTGAAAGTCCATTTTTGGCTATTATTCATAACCGTGTGTCTAATATGAATTCGTCTAAGTACTCTCTTCTGTGATTTTCATGGCATCACCACACGTTCCCCAGAAATAAGGCTTTCTCTGACTGAGCACAGAGATTGCTGCCGTTGAAATAGGTGTTTGAATTCTTCATTTAAAGGCGATGGCCATTTATTTTAATGGAAATGAATCGACCGTTGAACCATCGCGTCTCATTTTGTGGCATACGCTACTCGGTAAGCTATTATGGAAATGGCTCTCACAGCATCCATGAAACTGTCGCTTGCGTAATCTGTAGTAGAAATCACAGCAACACCAGAATCTTCATTAGTATTAGAGTAGTTACTTATTAGGCGAGATAAGACGTCCGTCTGACCAAAATCTTCTGTCCAACGAAATTGAACATCAAAATTATATCCTAGAAATGTTATCGCCTGCCTCTGAAGTCAGTTTGCCGAATGCATCGGTATTTCAGACTTCCAGCCGAAAACTGCTAGTAAGGCATTGTGGCCAGTCAACAATGTGAAATATCTACCATATATTATTTTGTAGAAAAAACGTACAGTAAAACCAATCGCCGACGCTTCTTTTTCGATCTGACTCTAGTGTCGCTCTGTGTTCATTACAGCCTTTTCCATCTTATTTTGTAATTTATGTGAAATTACTGCTCCCATACCACATGCAGATGTATCTCCAGCAACTATTAACGCATCGTAGGGATGTGATGGGTTTGTAGAAGATGGAACCCAAGTAGTGCTTTCAATTCCTCATAAGCTGCTTGATATCGTTCTGTCCATTCCTACTTAGCATTATTTCTAAGTAGATGATTAAGTGATGCTCACTTTTCATACGGGGAATACAAAAATGCAATGTAATAAGCCTGAGGAACGAACGTAGAGTCTGCAGATCGTGTGATGTCCAGTAGATCGGCTAGACTAGCATCAATCAGTTTTTCAGTAAAGTCGTTACACAGCAGTGTACGTGTATCTTTAGGCTCACGAGAATATTACCAAACTATACTCATTCCACGTTTTGCCAACTTTTGAAGCAATCAACCAAACTCTCACTTAAAATTATGTATTTATCAATTAACGGAAAATAATTATCGCGTCCTTCGTTCACTGTTCTATGACGCTGATAATTCCTACTGTGACGGTCTTTTAGATTTCGATAAATGCATCACGTTTATCATATATACCACCTATCATAAAAAGGTTAGAGTTACTGAAACCATTGAGACATAGTACACCTGCCATCATACATCTAACTTCTATGTAGAGAGTTTAATCTTATCAACAAACCAAACCGATAACTTGTGATCATTTGGAGTATTTGAATTATATTAAGAACTAGGAATCCCAAGAATAACGCGACCAATAAGTACTAGATGAGCACAAACGAATGTATTGCATTTGAAATTCGAAATCAAAGCATCATCAAGTACAAAGGAATCGTTAGTTCATACAAACGTGACATAACTCCCTCCAGTTGATGTGTACGTCACTTACGAGTATACTGGGAAAACCGAAAACTGTCAATCATTTTGCGGGTCAGTTTAGTAGAGCATATTTCGAGAACCCAGAAAACTACGGAACTCTTACCACTGATTACAAAAGAAAGAACGCTGAACTTGTTACCAGAATTTCCTTGACCGAAAATTCAGCATTAAGTGTCATACAGAATCAGGAAGTTAAGTATCATGTCCAGCTATCAAAAATTATAGTCTATGACCTAAATCCTTGATGAGTAATCTCCATAATTTTAGGTTCTATCACTGCAGTCCTTACTCATGTGTAGTATTTCTCAGATACATTTTGATTACAAAAGTTGAACGAGAGAATTTTGATAGGGCCAAACAATTTCAGCTGCGTCAATAGGTGAAATTCATTAACGAAAATGAACCACCGAGTGAAGATTTAACTGTAAAGACTGAAATTTGGAGAAAACGCCTGTTTGTTTAAGGCCAATATGGAGTAATGATCTTGGCCCTAAAAAAGTCTATACCGTCCCAGTGGTTATGCTAGTAATACTTAAGTACACCAGAAGATAGCACAAAAATTGTCCATATTTGTGATAAAATTCGACTGTTATCACTGAAATCACCGCTAGTACTATGCGAAACTTCAAAGTTCATACTTATTTATGGTTTCAGAATATCAAATCAAACTTTATGTCTACATATTTGTGAATTTGAATAGCTAATATTTACCTTAAAAGTGTCAATACAAAAAACACTCTCATGTGGGAAAACAATTTTATTGATTTCGTTAGTTTAGTGCAGTGATAAGATAGGCTACTATATATAAACGCCTAAAATCGTATTGTTTAGATTGAAAGAGGGTGCATGGGGAAAAGATGACGGTAAAGAAGTTAGTTTAGGTAGTAGCGAATAATAAAAGCATATTTTGCAAAAGTGAAGTATTGCAAATTGAATATAATATAATGGTACTCTCTAGAGCACAGATTTGAAGATATAGCTTTAACAATATCTTTACGACCAGTCTCGTCCTCTGAAAATGAAGATAATGGTAACGAATATCCTGATTGTGTTATTAATAACCAGTAAGTTCTGCGAAAGTTTGATCCAGTTCGCCACTAAGAGCCTTGTATCGTTCTTTCTCAGCCAATAAGTCATCTAAATTGGAAAAAAGATTTTAGCATAGAAATGAATGATAGATTAGATTTTGTGCTGGTATTCCTAAACTATTCACATGACACCAGCTCAAATTCAAGAGCGAATCTTTATTTGATAAAGAATTCAAAAACAAATCTACCCTCTACAGAGGATCTATTATCTATACAAGGGTACTCTCTTAACTGTACTCAAAGTATTTGAACGGAAGTAGAAAATACTCATTTCATCTGGTAATACACGGACAAACTTGGTCAATGTCTTCATATGACTCGCATACCAAGTACAACTTTATGTAATTGGTTTTGAGTCACACTATTTCTGGGAGCTGATGATACTATTCGGTTGTTCAAAGCGATATAAGTGTGTGGGGAGGAGTTCGAACCAACAATATATATATAATCTTAATAGATTGGTAACATAACTCGAAATCAATGTTCTAGTGATGGGTTCATTGGGTTGAATGCCCAAAAAAACCATACTAGTATAATTCGTATTTCAACAGAACACCACATTAAAACACTTAAATTTATTAAAGATTAAAATAAACAAACAGATAAACAACACGATGCTTTAAAGTTAAAACAAAATATAAATAAGCAAAATGCACAACAAAAGGAAAACTAGGACAAATTGGGCATTATTAAAAGTACAAACTGTGGAAGGGGAAAAAGAAAGAGCCAGAACCAAAAAAGGAAAGTAACAATGGACAAGCTACATGCATATTAACGATTCATATTTTATTTAGTTTAACTATTCATGACAAAAGAAGCTTTAATTAATAAAACGGACAGAACAAACAAAAACAAGCTTAACAATACAACCATATGCATACAATACATGCAATTTTGTATTCAGGTTGTGAAATATGTTATGCAGATTAGATCGAATGAAATTCATTGATCATTGTATCCATTTCTTTACGTAATGTTTCATACATAGTACGTTCTGTAATGATGCGTTCTAAACAGAGAAGACAAATTTATTGACATTAATTATTGAAAATTTTATGAACATATGATTGGTTTTTTATGAAGGAAAAAGAATATATACGAAATATGGTGTATTTAACAGAAACTGTATATGCCTCAATCTGTAGTTAAATCGTACACTCTTCTCGTGGCGGGGGTGTTGTTTACAAAATTGAGAGGACGAAAACCGAATGTCCGGCGCTGTAACCGGGTTAGTGGACACAGAGAGTCCACGTAGGGGAGTTGGAAAGCCCTGATTCCAAACCAATGGTGCATATGGGCTCCAATATCTTGAGGGAACAAATGGCGTATGAACCAATTACTGGTCACCGACTATCATTGAACTGCATCTCCTCACGATGCCCCACTGACTTGTGGATCAGATCTTTAGGTCAAAGGTTCCGAGTGTGGCCCCCTAAGAAAACCACCTGTTTTAATTTGGGCACCTGGGCAATATCACAGCCCTCATACAAATGAAATGAGATTTGTGCGGCGCATATATATCTGGTGCCTCTTTGTACCAATATTTATGTGTTCAAATAAATAAATAATCTGCCAAGGGCTTGTAAAATATTATAATATATATGTGTATTAAACAGTTCATCAAATTTGTACCTTTTTCAGTGTTTGTTCACCGACTATAATTAACCAGTGACAATGAGTGATTAACTCTAGCACATGAAATCTAATGAACAGTAAGAACCAGTTTTTGAATATTGTGCTGTTGGCAAGTACATTTTTTAAATTTTAACCGAATATTGAATATATATTCTCTGCACCTCAATTCCTTACAGTCTCTGATATTTGGCATCGCTTGTTATCAAATCTTGCTTACTATGTTGTTTGAATTAATAGTAACTAGGATCGACTGAATGTTGATCAACAGTTAAACATTGTTACGTTCATTTAATTAGAGCAATTCTATGGGGATAGCATTTGATTTTTCAAGAATGGAACAAATATGACATTGGTCACTATCCAGTGATCAATCAGTTGTAAATACATCTCAGTCTTACAGAAAATCAGTCGCGACCCGGGTAACTCAGTGGTAACATCTCTGACTGTGAAGCTGCATGACGCAGGATCGGATTCGTCGGGGAATATGAGTTCCCACAAGATTAAAGGTACACCTTGCTGACATAACAGTGTCCTGATGACTAATTTTAATCACTACCTTACACAGATATTTGTTGTGTTGTGGACTTACTACTGTCAACAATGATAGCAAACACTGGCAAATAAACGACGTGACCATACATGAGCATACATCTGAAATGAAGTTTAGAGGACCCAGATAAAAACAGCTAACACCATAAAAAATATTATATTACTCACCTTTTGCTTTCTTTATTTCCATAAGACGTCGATTAACTTCTGCTTCAGCAGTATCAGCTCGAAATTCAGCCTGAATATTATTATTTCATGATAATGAGAGAAATGAGTAATACGAAGAAGCATAGACAATTAGAACCATAAATAGAGGTCAAACAAAAAAAACAAAGGAGAGAGAGGTTTAAAACACATGCTATAGCATTCAAATAAACATCTATGATCAAGATACTTTCTAACAAATGCTTCAATGCATAATTCTATAATCTATACAGACATTATTTATTATCATAGTTAAGAAGGAAATAGGAAGAAAAATTCCCACCTTCCAAATGATCAACCTCATTTTGTAGTTTAGATACTTGACGTTCAGCTTCAGTTGCTCTTTGCTCAGCCTATGTGGTATAATACATACAGATTAATAAAATTTAGTTAATTTGATAGTTTGTCTCATGATTATTTCTTATCGTACGAAATGGATGCAACACTGACATTCGATGACTAAAGGGGAGCAAGTAACCATGCAAATGTGCATTCTTTGAAATCAAGTTCACATGCAGAATAGGGAAAACTATCTCCTTGTGAATAGAATTAATGTCGGAATATTGACTGATTGTAAAAAAGCTATTGTTGTCAATGGCTATCTAACGTTTTAATACATCAAATCATGAGTTCAATTGACGTTGTAAACACAATAACACTATTGAAAAGTGTTATATAAATCAAAGCACAGGCTTATGGATTCGCTGTAAGACAATGCACTAACATCAATGGGTTTTTTCAATTAGTAGTTAATTATTATATATAGTTGAAATCATGAGTCAATTGAAGCTAGACCACCATAGAAAACCTGGAAGCACTGGACGGCCGTTTCGTCCTATTGTGGGACTCCTCAACAGTGCGCATCCACCAGGTTTTCCATGGTGGTCTAGCTTCAATTGACTCATGATTTCAACTATGAAAAATACTGAAATCTCCACAAAACCCCTTCTGATTATAATCATATGCTCACTAGTGACTAACTTCAAGAGACATGTCCTGGAGTTCTAGTGGGAAGCAGTGACCAGTAGAGTTCAACCACGTCTGTTGTGAGATAACAACTCACTGAAGACATTTGGTGAACGGTTGCATAAATAAGGATTCGTGTTACATTACAAATAGACAACAGACTTTCTTCCTTTGACTGACAAAATCCAACTAATCGATTCAACTAGATCTATTTATTGCTGAAAATGCTTGATACATATATGTTTTTCCTGTTATAAATAAGTCAACTTACTTCTTTAACATGATGAGTTAAAACACTTAAACGTTCCTCCAAATCTTTCTCAATTTCAGCAGACTAAAATACGCCATGCATAATTGATGAATGTTTCAAGTGCATGCAATTTTACACAAAATCGACGTATATATCGACCGAGAGAGAAATAAAATGTAGATAAATGAGTTTATCATGGCAACATGGAGTTTTAAAAAATAATTTATAATGATTTACAATGTACGTCTACATTTATAATTATTATTATTCATAGTTGAAATCATTAGTCAATTGAAACTAGACCACCATAGAAAACCTGGAAGCACTGGACGGCCGTTTCGTCCTATTATAGGATTCCTCAGAAGTGCGCATCCACCAGGTTTTCCATGGTGGTCTAGCTTCAATTGACAAATGATTTCAACGATGAAAATATTGAAATCTCCACAAAACCCCTTTTAATTATTATTCAGATTAGAAATGCTACATTCTAAGGACGATCTATGCCCAGTATGCAAAGTAGATCAAACTGCTAGTTCGATAAATTGTAAAAAAAACACAACAGACAAAATGTGTGTTTGTACTTATAAAAGGAATGTTAAGTAAATAAACAGGAAGTGAATATAAAGGTCGGTTAGTTAGTACCAAGGTCATTCTCTGTGACAATAAGTGAAACAGTCATTCAGAGGTAAAAAATCAATGGTGAACAATGCAATGTAAAAAATATGAAAACACATGCAAAACCAATTTGCACACACACATATATTCCTACAAACAAACAACTAAATGCCAAATAACGAAATCATCACAACCAAACAGACACACACACATACAAAACTAAACAAGGCTTACAGCCTTCAATCGTTCTGTTAAATCTCGAATTGTTTCCTCATAGCTTTCTTCACGTTGGGCTGACTAGATAATAGAAAACAATGTCGTTTATCCGAATAGAAAACAAGACAATAGTAACAAATATAAACATTTGATCAGATAAAAACTATCATAACTAGATAAGAACAAGAAACAAAAACAGCAGTCAGTCAATGCCATTTCATTTGTTTAGCAGTAGTAATTGAGTTCTGTTGATCAAATTTTCAATATGATCATCAAGCTAACTGATATGATATAAAATGACGACATTGGCTGGTTCGAGTTCAATTTTTTCAAAAAGATGGGGATACATCTTCTAGATGAATGTCGAGTACAACAAGTGAATATCGAAGACGACAAATAACCAACCTGATTTGTATGAACTAAATTAACAGTTGAATGAAATGTCTTGTAAAGATTTATTTAATTTGAAGATGGCTATGGTTACAAATAGGGAGAGCAAAGGCAGCGTTCCTATAATTGAAGAACATCTGAAACACCAAACAACTGTAAGGAAACATCAGTCAGAATTTCCAATACAAACGCTAAGACAATTTTATTGTATGGAGCTAGAACTTGGGGAACTACAACAACCATTGTCCAAAAACTACAGGTATTTATAAACAGTTGTCTACACAAGGTACTCTAGATCAGTTGACTAGATACCATCAGCGAAAACCTACTGTGGGAGAAAACAAACCAGCTTCCAGCTGAAGAAGGAATTAAGAAAGTCAGTGAACGCATTACGGAAACTATCAAATTACGCAATGACGCAAGCACTAACTTGGAATCCTGAAGGCAATAGCAAAGAAGACAGACCAAAGAACACATTACGCCTGGAACTGAAGGCGGACATCAAAATAAAAAACATTTGGTAACAACTGGAAAAGAGATTCCAGGTCAGAGTAGGTTGGAGAATCCTGACTGGCAACCTATGCTTCATGAGAGGTAATAGGTGTACGTAAGTAATGGTTACGAAGAGAAGCCAGCAGAGAAATTCCTATAAATGGTTGAATATCGAACAACCGACTCCCCTCCATAACACTACAAGACAGGATTTTATGATAGGTACAGTATCACTTGAGACATACACGATGACTATATTTAAATGTTATTAGTGAGCCACTCCCTTACTTGTAATTGGTTTTATTCCACAGGTCACATACTTAAAAACTTCACTAAACCTATCTAAAACCAAATCACTGGTAAAAACGAAATTAATATTCAACAAAGAGATTCAGTGGATTACAAAAGGGTAACCACCATTCCTTTTCTACTTAGTTCTGACGGCATACCCTACACTGTCATTCTATTGATTCTACTAGAAATATTATTTTCAAGCAAATAGATTCGCTGATGCAAGGAAAATACTAGGCCATTATCCATAACTCCTCCAAAAGTACCACTAAGACCCATCCAATTATTGAGGAGTAGGGACTTATCGGTTAAAAAAACTTCTAACCAGTAGGTCAGTAGTTTAAACTTTAGTCAACCTAATTAAATTAGAACATCTACGTAGAAGCTGTGTACAAGAGTATGTACTTGGTGAACGAGCTGCATTACGATTATTATATTTATAAAAAAGAACACCCATTTTAGAATATTACATGTTCATACCACTAAGAACGTTAAGAAATGCATTTTGTATATGATGTTGAATTATTTACCAAACAATGTGAGGTATAGACTCCACTTGAAGCTTAATTTTAGTCACATGGTAACAAATTATTAGTTCAGATTAAAGATTATGATATAAGTAGCATACTTCAAATTACGAAATATATTTCTGTCTCCAGCAGTAATGTCTTTAAAGTAAGTAGCTAAGACATCAAAAACTACTCAAAGGAAGTCCGTGTGTGACTGGCCTTGAGCAATTGTCTCTTGGGCTTTGGGGTCACACTTTAAGGTGGCCAAGACTGCCAGTAGTTTAATTCCCTTTTCAGGTGCCTCAAGAGAAAGTATCCTTCCAGTATGGGGAACAGAAAAGTTATGACTGCTAGCACACCTCAAACGGCAATTGAGATCATCTTGTTTAATGATAGTGAAAATACGTAAAGAATGAAATTAATAAATGGAACTGTATAACTTAATGGTTATACTATTGTACTTCTACGATCAGTAGGTAGGATTCAAAAACACCTTCATAAGTGACTGTCCGGCCAAAAGAATAGCAGTGGAGTTGAGTTTGAACTTGTGACCTACTGGTCAAAAGACGAGTACTTTAACCAATTAGCCACCCATCCCGACTAAGTATTAAAACGAAAATCAATAAACTTTATCACAGTGGGATGACAATCATAATTATTTCTACTTAGCAACAAGCAGTTTTTATGCATAAACTTTCCAAAAGAATGTTAAATAATACCAGAGCAGTTGTTAAAAAGGTCCTGACTACTATGTAGCTTAGTAATTAAATAAAAGCTTACTTACTTATGCCAAAGAACACATTACGCCGGAAATAGAAGTAGATATGAAAAGGATGAATAGCAACTGGAAAGAACTGGAAAGGAAGGCTCAGGACAGAGTTGCATGGAGAATGCTGGTGAGCGGCCTATGCTCCTCGACGAGGGGTAACAGGCGTAAGTAAGTAAGTTTATGGATTTACGAATCATATCTACGCACAGATCAGATAAAATGAAATGACTTTTAACATTTGGGAATTAAACACCTAGATGGCTGTGATAGATTTTTCAACAGAAGTCAAAGTCTGAGTAATTTATGGACCATATCAACTTTTAGCACAAGACAAGGGTTAGACATTCAGTTATCCATGTTAATGTATATGAGTGTTTAAAATATAATAAACATATTACACATTTTAGGTAACTAAAGTGTCAAATTTTCTCTAGAAAAAAACGGATGAGTAAAGAAAGATCATTATCTCTATATAGTTGAACTATCAATACAGATAGATATATATGCGTATTATGAAATTACCTCTTGTTCGGAAATCTCAAGAGCTTTCATATTATTACCAACAACTCGTAGTTCCTCTTCCAATTCTACTATTTTGCTTAAATTTTGAGGGGAAAAAATTATGATGGTTAATTGTTTGAAAGAGGTTTAGATGCAGAAGCGTATATTTGTCTATGTATATATATGCTAAACAAGTACGCAATCTAATCATGCAATGGGATAATACTACGTATCATACAAACTTTCATACGAGGCGGCAAACAAACAGCAATCAAAAAAAAGAAAGTTTCAAGAAAAGTATTGACAGACAAGTTTAGTTAAATAAAACGGTAAAAGAAAAGTTAACCATAAAGAAAGTCTGGCAAAGTAAGTTATATTCACATGAACATGATGTAATGTCTAAAGAAATGATAAAAGAAAAGTGGGGAAAAAGTTAAAGTAATTATTTGAAGAGGATTGGATTGTATTTGAATATACATATACATTATAATGCCCCCAAGTGCCCTGGTACGGCCTAGAGTGGGGAGAGTCCACTCTCCCTCTCCGAATGCTCTCACATGACCACGCGTATATAGCCTCTGCCAGGGAAGTCCTACTCACTGCCTTCTCGTGGCGGGGTAGGGTGTTGTTTACGAAGTTGAGAGGACGAAAACCGAATGTCCGGCGCTTTAGCCGGGTCGGTGGATGTGGAGTGTCCACCTAGGGGAGTTGGAAAACCCTGATTCCAAACCAATGGTGCACATGGGCTCCACGATCCTGAAGGGACAAACGGCGTATGAATCAATCGTTGGTCACCGGCTACCATAGGACTGCAACTCCTGACAATGCTCTACTGCCTTGTCGAGCAGACTTTTAGGTCATAGGCTCCGAGTGTGGCCCCCTATTCACATGAACATCTAAGTGTATTTAGTTCGAACAAATGAATTGCTAAAACCTATTTTTAAAGAATACGCACTTACAATACAGATGAGTAGTTGTAAACTTTAAGAATTATTTGTTAACAGTATCTATTCATATATGTACATTTCTTCTATCTGGATGATTTCAATTGAAATAGTGCCATATTATAAGTTGAGATGTATTTTCCTGACATGCAATGTTTTATGGTGTAGGAGTAGGTTGGAAGAAAGCTAGGGACGGCCAGACCAAAACGTGGCACAAATCCATGAAGTCACTGACAAGTGGACTGAGCCATGTTGGTAGGTGTAGACTACCTGGTTGGGATTCGCTAGTTGATAACAATCAATGCTTAGAGACCTTGAATGACATGGCTCAAAATCGTTTGCAATGGCGAAGGTGCATCCACTCTTTATGTTCTACCAAATTCTAATCTTCTGAATTATTCATGTCCCTATCGTTTTTTCTCTTTCCAAATTTATTTCATTGGATTATGCTCCTTGAATAACATCTTCAAACCCTAATCTCTCACATTAATGCTTATACTCTTACTACTTCTACCACAATGGGATTTGAATCGACAACTGCATCTCTGTGCTAATGTGGTATGGCAACTCGAACTGATGTACGTACGTACGAAATTCTACGTTGTGATTGACTGATGTATTTTCCACAATTAAAAATCCAAGTATGCCACACCAATCATCTTTATTTCAAAATAATTCAATGTAACTTAGTAAAAAATATCAGTATGCTGTTCTGAGATTTAGACAAAAACATATTTTGTACGAAACTGCTAGTGACATGAGTCGGCTACTCGAAACGAAGTAGGTGGAGCAACGTTTGAAAGTAGAACTCAAATATTGAAAATTAGTTGCTTTAGTTATTACTCCATCTTACGAAAATGATGTAACATTACTATTCTGTTCAAATTGTTAGGATCGGTTTATACATTTTAAATACTGGATTAAAAATCTGAAACATATTTAGTTACATAACTGGCATTGCTAAAAAGAGTTGTAATTTCCATAAAATCTATGCGTACAAATTTACTAGAAAAACTTTCCACTAGATTGAACCTGTTGCAATTGAAAAAGAGGATATATTTCAATTGGGTTATTAAACAAAATATCGCCTATGATATGAGTTGACAAAACAAAACAAAGTTGACGTTGACTGTCATCATGGATAGCTGTCAGTTGAAGAACCACCAGAAGTGCATTCTACAGTCTTTTTCTTTCCAATTGGAAGCTCCTAAAAGTTGTAGACTTACAGAAAACCAACATTAAACCTTCACATAAGCACAATATCAAGAAATAGTTGTCTAGCATTCCATAGTTTTCAATTCTTGTATAATGTCCTAACACAGTGTTAAACCATCTTTAAAAAACTACTTATGTAGGCTAAATCAAAACCTGAGAATGAAAAGAGTCGGCCAAAAGAATCAGTGTGTGTACCTGTTCTTTTTTAATCTCCATAGATTTCCATTTACCAGCCAAACCCTTTAGAGTATTCTCCAGTTCAGCGACAAGTCTACAGAGAAAAAACATAAGGTTGGTAGGATGAAACAAATTTTGAATGAGTAAAATGAATTTTGTGAAGATAGGATTGAAGAGAAATGTTGTAAGCAAAATGAATCCTCATTATAAACCACGGTGTTTCTAAATCACAGTATTGACATTGATGGGACTAGGATCTGGTTTTTCGTATATCAAGAAAGTTATATGCACCATAATTGTTAACATAATTCTTTTTCCATTCCCTCTTATTATTTAAATCGTCATAGTTTTAAGATCAGATTCTTTTTTCCGAAAAGAAATTTGTGTATAGGGACGAAAACAAAGGGAAGATGATTACAATTGAAGGCAAAGTCATCAAGCTCATGACCATCTAACAACCTCTATATACAGAATAAGAAAATCAATCATCAAATATATACGGCTGAAATTTGAACAGAATTGTATTTTTAGACAGAGTATAGTGACTAAGGTTATTATGCCACGTATATTTGTAATAACTTCATATTGTAAATGACAAGACAATGAATAGATAGGAAGCAGCTAAAATAAGCAGTTATGGGATCTTCTTAGAGTCATAGTTCAACTGACCATGAAATAACCATTTCATAACAGGTCTAGAATTCGAGATGTTTGTTTTGTATTGTTTACCTTAATCATATTGTTAAAATCAGATATACCTTACAATCTGCTGATGTATGGGTAATTAACACTTCTAGCTATTAACTGTCTAAGGTCATTTGATCTAAGATAACTAGAAAAAGAAAGGTAAAACCGACTTAGCAGTGTAGTCTCACAGTCTAAGACAGAAGTGGTGATCTCAGGTATGACTTTTTTGAGAATATATCATTACGTTGAGTTCATACTTTAAAATTTTCACTTCCAGAACGATAAAGCCATTAAGCAACATTTTTTGGTGCGCTGACGTTGCACTAGAAACAGTTAACAGAATTACTTTTCTTTTAGACGCGAAGTTTGTTGCTATAATACTTTCTTGGTATGGACACAACATTACGGAACAAGAATTCCAAGTGAATTGGAAGCAACAAAATAAACAATAAAAACTACTAAACACAAACTTACTCTTCGGATTTAGCCATACGTGTTTCAGCTTCAGCTAAATTCTTCTCAGTTAAGGCCAGTGTACAAGAAATCTTCAGGTGATTTGAACAAAATCACAGGCAGTTATTATAAAGTGCAGAGTACGGTAACGGAGTGGATGACATTTTTTATACGAAACAAAGAGAAAGACATGCGGTTAATAAATGCACAAAAACTATAAATACTTAACACGAATAGTATTATTAATTTCAAGACAGTTGTTGAAATTTATTTAAACACAATAAAACCATGCAACATAATGGACGATGCATGAAATACGTTGCTTGATTGTGATGCATATATGTGTTTCTGGCTACCTTTCTGCAGCTTCGAGACGAGCTTCCGCACGTTCAAAATCAACTTCTGCGATAGCTAATTTACGTGCAGCCTAAAAAGGGAGAAAAAACAGTATTAAATAGGGCTTGCGATCGTGCAAAACAAATAAATATATCAAAACACAAATGTAACTGTATGACTATAATAATACCAAAAAATATTAATTCATCTATGTGTGATTACGACATATAGTCAGTGCTCAACCCATGGTCCATACAATTTATTTGTACCCACTGTGGCTTGAGCACTGCAGAATGGCGATTAACCCAACAATAAGGAGAAAAATGACGTCTTTGAGGACAAGATAGGTATTTTTTTGAATAACGGGAATAAAAATAAGGACGCGGGAATAGCTTAGCAGTGTTTACGTATTAAGCTTTTAAACGATGACTAGCGGGTTCATATCCTACTCTATCCACGACGATTTGGGTAGCCAGGTAATATTATTAGGGTCTACGAGAGCGACTAGGTTCAGAAACAAATCTAAAAACTAATACATAGTAACTTCAGTCCATGGTATTGTGGTATGGGCTACTTATATCCACATAAGTAGAATATAACGATGGTATATAACAAACAATTAACTCAGAGAATATGGACTGATATTTGCAGAAGGAACAGTCAAGGTTGAGACAATTGATTGATAGTTCGCAAATTAACTGTTTACTGTATGGTTGTCAGCTTTTAGTGAGATATTCTGTAATTCCGTGCTCAAATATATTCGATTGTCCCCACTCGTGTTCTTGTCCACTACAGTATTAATGCTGATTAATAAAGACTTAATGGATCCCGAATACGATCAAGGAAAATTATAGTAAGAAAATAGAGTATGGCCATACAAATTGGTGGCAAATAGATATAGGACAACCGTTTGTGTGATTAAAAGGATACTGATGATCAATATTACCGCTTTTACAACCATGTTTCTTACGAAGGCAGTATTTAGCTATATTATTACCACATAAAATGTCCGGTATCAATCTTCAAGAGCAAGCAACAAAAGTGTAACACAGAATGATTTGAAGAGTCTAATCGGATTTGAATGTTTTAGAGGTTTGGTATTCACCTTAAGTCCTATTCAAACGATAATATCAACCTTTGAAAGTTATTATAGATTGAGTTATACATTTCCATCGTACGAAATTACAAAAAATGTTTAAATTGTGGTAAAAAAGGCTCAGTAATGATGTCAATCACTCAAAGGAGTGTAGCAAAAGTAAAATTGATAAATATTAAACAGACGACCAGCTGTCATTATACAAGCTCAATAAAAGTGATGGTTTTTGTCAATGTTTGATTTGTGAAAAAGGTTTTTGTAGGCCTCGTTGTAACATTGCTCCACAACGACTGACAAGTCTCTCCATACATGTTTTAGGCCAGAAGCAAAGTGTGCCCCATCGCACTCTAACTTATCTACGAGATACAGATTCGTGTAGTTGGCTTTGGGCAGAGTATAACGGTTGTTTTGACGTATGGAGCCGAATACTTTAGACAACATACAGATGTAGCTTTCAGATTAACGCACATAGATGTATAGTCAATAAATGGTGGCTTGAAGTACAGTTTACTTACTTCATCATAAATGAAATTAATGGATCAGAAAACCTAGAAGATACAGGTAATTCTACTGGTTAATTAACTAATCTTACGTACTATAGTGGTGAAACATTCATTTAACTAATAATCTGTGATATAGTGCATTTAGTAACTTCAACCAAACAAAAAACAAGTATAGAGACAGGACACATTGAGTATGCGCAATTTACTACACTTTGCAACGAAATGGAAGTCGGAGATTAATACGAACGGAAAAATATTAGAATCAATAAACGATAAAATGATGGAAAATAATGAAATATTTCGCAGGAGAGAAAAATTCATCTATACCGCTGCGATCGATTTGAAATCGTGATGCATATCATATTCAACAGCTGATATCTATCATTTTGAAGGTCTTAATTAAGCTGTATATACTTCTCTACATGACAGTTACTTCACGGGCAGACAGGATATTTAAACTGTGACTAATTCGAATGGGATTCCAAGTCGTGGCAGATGATCGGTTGGGATGTAAATGATTTCACTAAGTTTCGAGCAATATTGAAAAGATACTTGTGAGTGAATATCAACAATGTGTGTACACATTTTTTAATGCCCTTTAATAACTCGCCATATGCTAAACTAACGCCACGGATTGTGTTAGCTGACAAATAAATCAATTATATAGTGAGGCTTCATGAACAATTAGCCCATCAAGGTTGGTGTACTACTGCCAGTTTTTCTGCTATTATACTATAAAACTAGATATCAGTGAAGACCATGCTTATGATTTAAAGTTCTCCATCTCTACAACACAAAGAATAGGTCCGTCAAAAGGTATTCAGGACTCACCTCGTCATATTTACGGTCTGCATCCTCGGCAATATACTTGGCTTCCTTTTGTTGGTCCTCCAGCTGGTTAAGCCGCTCATCATCAGCAATCGAACGAATCTCAAGGTCTTTTCGTCCACTATGTGCAAGTTATTAAATTAAAAAAGTGTGTGGAATTAATATATAGGCATTTAAAAACCTAACAAATCTAAAATCTCTACCTCTTTATATTTCTTATCAGTTTCCTTAGCAGCTTCTGTTGCGTCCTCGACAGCTTTCTGTAGCTGCTCTACTTTCTTGTCGTATGTATCCATTTTATTTTGAACTTGACGCCACGCACTACATGCATACATGCAAAAAAATCACGTTACAAATTATGCATGCGATAAAGGTGAACAAGTGAGAATACTTGCCACGAACGCTTACCGTTCACTTTCCTCTGCGGTTTTACTTGCCTCCTCCAACTTTGTTAATGTTTCGGTTAAACGGCTTGAAGAAACTTCAAGATCTTCCTCTAATAAACGAATTCTGCGAGTCATCGCCGCCACTTCAGCTTCAGCCTGAAAAAAATAGGGCAAACTATAAAATATACCAAATAACAAGTTGCATAATGGGTACATAAGCTATAAGACAATACAACATTTAAAAATTGATTTCAAAAGCCTATTGTAAAGCCATTAATAATAATAATAATTAAATATTGATTAGAAATTAACGAGTATGTAACACGAGTGGTGCCCCCATGTACTCACTTTGCATAGGCTACCGACTTCTATTATTTCTCCTTGACGACAGGGGGCTGTGTATTTGCGTTAGTTCTTTTATCAGTATGTTTAGTTAGTGTGTCCTAAATCTTATTGCACAATTCATTAAAAAAAGCAAACAGCATTTAAGACAAGTTACATGCTCAAAAAATGAACATTAAATCTAAATCACAGGACCACGTAGGAGTTAGATTAAAAATATGATGTGACTATATGTTTAATAAAAGTATTATGGATTGTTACACACACATAATGTTAAAGAACAATAAAAATATCATGACTTTGTAGTATTTCGACTGCAGAGGTTAACGGTATCAAGGATTAGATGGAAAAAACAGAAGCGCATCGGATTTATTTTAGTTCAGAGTTGCGGTAATGATTTAGTACATTTCGCAATATATGTGTATACATTCATACCTTTTCACGCAAGGCTGTCTCTTGCCTCAATATTTCATCTTCTGTGATAACATCAAACTGTAATTTTTCTAACTCCGTCTGCATCTCTTTAATTTTCTTCTTGACGACAATCGCGACATTTGATTCACTCATTATTGTTAAAAAGGTAGCGTGGCAGACAAGTGCACCTCCTTGTGCAACCTTGAGATGCCTAAATGTTTCAATGTTGAATAAATTTTCAAAACACTGAAAATTTGTCCCAAATATTTTTGAGGTTTGTAAAGGCAACTAGTCTAATCAGGGATTAGTTTCAGTGGAATGCAAATGGTGCTTGACTTTCTCAATGGCAGCCGATAAAGCATACTGGTTAATGGGGATCATTAGACGTAGGAACCTGTAAATAGCGGAATTTTTTAATGCACACTTCTTAGTAGTTTTTTGTTCTACTTTAGTTAAATCTATCACCAACTGTAGTAAATCTCTTTGTCCTACTCCTTGCAAATGACAAAGATTTGGAGACTTATTTATTGTATGTCAGAAAATATATTATTACAAATCGACCAACATTTAATGGTGGAATGGATGTACAGGTTGTCAGTAAGAGTTAATTCTACTGAGAAAGTTGTAGTCCAAATGAACAACACCATAATTAAGGTGCTGGATTTTAATGACCTAGGGTTCATAATAAATAACGATCTTAGGACTAGGAGTGATTGTAAGACTGCCGCTGATGAAGGCTTCAGGATATTTTGAGCAACTTGTAAGTCGTCCCATTGTTTTGACAAATAAATGTTTAGGGAATTATCCCTAGCTCTTGTTTGGCCGCATTCGGATTATGGGATTCAAGCAGCGAGTCCTTGTTTCAAGTATGAGACAGATATGATAGAACAAGTTCAACAGCGAGGGACCTAAATGGTAAAAGTTCCTTCTGGCCCATTTTAAGAGGACTGACTGAGATACCTCAACCTATTTCCGTTATCTTACTGCAGGTTACCGGATGATCCGATACTAGGCTATTGTATGATGAACGATGACTTTGGTATCAGTATGTCTTATCTTTTTCTCCCATTTAGGACTGATCCTCTCAGAGGACATTCTTATTAAGCTCAAAAACTGAGATCCAATATTTTATGTCTAGAGTCCAGTTTCTCGCACCAGATAGTGAGTTGATGAAATTATTTACCATAACACGTACTATTAGCACCTTCTGTTGATACGTTCAAATGGCGATTACATTTTTACAGTACTACAAATTTCAGTGATTAACATAAGTTGATTAACTACCTATTCTGACTGATGATGACTGAAGACTAGTTCTCCAGGGGAACTATGTTCTTCCTAAGGACAATAACTGAATTAAGAAGACCAAAATATTGCTTCTGCAATATGCAAGGAATAAGGTAGTCTGATCATTTAAATAACACTACATTAGTTTAAATATTGAGAAAAATTGTTGCAAATGACAGTAAATCTGAACGTTGAAAAACTTTGTGTGTTTGAAAAGGTAATCTCGCGCTCAACTGTTTGCTGTCCCACGATCTAATTAAAGACTTTTTCATTACTAGTTTGGTTTCTTGTATCAACATACAGGATATACCCAACAGCACAAAAGTTTCACATGAAATTTAACTACAGTGACAACAATCTACCACCATAATCTATTATGGCTACGGACTTTAGAGTGAGACAATTGGGCTTAATCAGTTTCCAAAGGCTATGGGAGGTTCGGCTACGTGAGTAAATGAGATTATAAACCTGTGACAAGTTAGCAGCAGGAATTCTTTTTTATTTATACCACATACAACTCCATGCTTCAGAGAATATGTAAGCGTGAAGTAATTCACAGGAATTACTGGAACAACACGTAATGCGTTATTTGATTTCAGGCAATCAGCATAAAACCCTGGATCTAGGTATCATGCTAGTTGGTGGTCTTCAGTAAGTCTTACCTTCAATCAAAAGGAAACTGGTATTACTTGTGGGGTTTAAATCTGCACCACCAAGCTTCACAGTCATTACCAGACATTACCACTGAGCTGTTCTGTCTGAAACTGACCTCCTTATAGTTGGGACGTTAAAATTTGCTGATCATTAGGTTATAATCACTGATTGAAATTTACTAACACAGAAGAGTTATCCGATGCATGCCAATTACTTAAATAAGTCAACTAACGGTTCCTTTAACTGTCCGTTAAATAATTAATAACTTAAGCCGAAATTAGGTTGACGTTAACGAAACCACTTCAGTCACTTGGTCATAGTCATTTTATGAGTATTTATTTGTCTTATTTTCATTACTAATAATGGTATCACATCAAAATTTCAACCTCAATACTTGCTTTAGTGTTAAGGAAGTAGCGCATTTTCCGAGCTATGTGATTTATTTGTGATGCTTATCCATCGCTTTAATACTTTCTCAACAATTCATGCCTTCAAAAATATATTGAACAGCTGCTTACACTTCTGGATGATTCACAATTGAATTCAGAATTTGTGTTCTGTTATAAGACTTACGTTTTGCTCCAGTGGTTACACCACGTTTTATTGATAGAACAATTTACACTAGTAGTGAAAGATTTTGATTAGATCATGGGACAGTACACAGTGGAGCGCGAGGTTACCTTTTCAAACACACAAAGCTTTTCAACGTTCAGTATAAAATAGTAAGAAATATAGTCCCTATACAAAATAAGGAGGTGAGTGAATACTTAAGCTTTACTGTTCTGATGTTTACTTAGATGTTTGCAGTCAACTCCTAACTAATCACCCTCAGTTGTTGCAAAGTCATTACAAAATCTAACCTTTTAGTAAGGAACATGTAATCACCTATTGAAAGCTAATTGTTGTCAAGATAGTGCATATAATTACTATTCTCAGAGTTTTAGTTTTTTTTCAATGATGAATCATATTATCCAAAAAAACTTAACATTATTTTAAGCAATTTCTTTCGAATATTTAAACTTGAATCTAGTGAACCCTTAATTGAAAATTGCTTCCTCACTCCTTTTAGTCACAGTGTGGTAATAATATTTACAGACTATACCATACCTTATTTACTAAGTAACAATTTGTATACTTGATCTTGAGTTACACTTCAGATATGAAAACTGGTTGAACTACCAAGATGCTGTAGGATAATTAAGCCAAATAGGACTCGAACTTGTAACCTAAAGGTTAGGGCCACTAGGTCAACTGTAATTATAATAACCAATCACTGAAACATGTTCATAATTTTTCAGATAACAATCATTTATATATTACATATATAGTTAAAAATTATAAACTTACATTAGTAGCACGTTTATCAGTTTCCTCTAATTTATTCATTTGTTCTTGTAATGTTTCTTGTGCTTCATCACAATCAATTTGTGCTTGTTTCATTTTATTATTTAATTCAGCAATTTCACTTTCACGTTTTTCACGTTCTTCTTCTTTCTTTTTAAGTAATTCTTCATATTGTACTGCTCTGTACAATAAAACCAATAAATCGGTATAATATTTTTGTAGTATCAGAAGGGTTTTTTTGGATATTATAGTAATTTTAACAGTTGAGATCATGAGTCAATTGAAGCTAGACTACCATGGAAAATCTGGAAGCGAAGAGGGATCGTGAATGCGCACTGATGAGGAGTTAGGACGAAATGGTCGTCCAGTGCTTCCAGATTTTCTATGGTGGTCTAGCTTCAATTGATTGATGATCTTAATTATTAAAATGTTTGTAATATCCTAATAAGTAGAAAAATTAGGTTTTCTACTTATTGTGATGTTACAAATATATTATTTATTTACTTAGAGTTTTGATTATATACCAGAACCGATATATTTGTAATAGCAATAATTAGTATAAGTTTGGATGCTTATAGTTGATACTTTCTGAAAAGTGTAAATAAACACAAAGTATGAGCCAAACACTTCTTATTAAATGCATTCAGTTAACATCGTATAAATGGACTCTGATCATCAGCTTAGATCTTCATAAGCGTAATATAATGGTTAGTTATCCTCTGAAGAAGTAGCTTACACCAAGTCACGAAACGTCAGAAAATCTAATCTTTCTACTCATTCGAATATCTACATATATATCAATTTATTTCTTAACGTGATTTTCAATTCATCTTAAGCCGTCAACTTAACTTCTGTTAGTGATACTTGTAAACTTGTATCTAATTTCAGTTATTCATTTAAGTAGTTAGATAATTTAAATGTAAAAAAAGTAAGGACTTCCATCACATCAACCGTAACACTATTTAAATCATAGAAACAAGTAAACAAGAACAAGTATATTACACTTTATAATCGTATTATTGATAAAAATTACATATTGTTATTATTATTATTCACTTAGTATTGTTTGTTTGAATCTTCCAATTGATGTTTTAGGACTGTAACTGGTCAGTCTCTAATTAGCATATGTGCTTACTGTGCATATTGCCTCGATATAGCCTAAATTTACAAGCATTGTAAGCCAAAAAATGGAAAGTGGCTAGTAGTAGAATCTAGGACGAGTGTTTCGTCCTATTTGGGACTCATCAGCTGGATGGCTATCAGGACTCAGTAGCTAAGTGGATAACGCGATGGCGTTTGGAGCGAACGGTACTGGATTCGAGTCCCAGAGTGAACATCAACTCTGAGATGCAGGTACATTCAGCTGACGATTCCCAAATAGGACGAAACGCGCGTCAAACTGGATTCCACTACTATCCACTATCCATCTTTGCTCATTATTATTATTATTATTATTATTATTATTATTATTATCAACAACATACAACTAACCTTTCCATAGCATTCTCTTTCTCTAATTTCATTGCAATCATTTTCTTTTTAATTCCATCCATGTTTTTCTAAAATTATTACTGTTTATATGATAGTCTTTTAAACAAAGATACAAAAGTGAATTCTTGGAATAGGTACGGTTATGTAAAATGGAAATGAATGGATCACTATGAGGAATTGTGCTGATGATATTAATAATTAATATATATATATAGGAATGAAATGGTATTTGTGGTAAAAAGAAAATCAATAGTGTACCACAGATACACACACTATCGATCGATATACATAGTTATTTTTACACCAATTAGATTAGGATAATTTTTTTTGTGTATAAGGGAAAAGGGATTACAGGTTACCTATTTTTCTTTACAATAATAATAAATTGCTAACTGTAGTATATACAGTTACATGGGGTTGACCTTGGGATTTAAATAAGTAATGTGTTCGAGGGGGGGGATAATATCCATCCACCCACTCAAATATCTATTTATTTAAATATATGGTATAGTATACACATATGTGTGTGTGTGTGTATAGACACAATTGGGGAAATTTTGTTTCTGATATGATAATCTTAAGTAATTTTAATGTTAGATAAATTAAAAAGAAAATTAGGTATTAAGAAGTGAAAAATAAAATTGTAATTGAAATATTTTTATCAGAAGGAGTTTTGTGGATATTATAGTAATTCTATATAGCTGAGATCATTAGTCAATTGAAGCTAGACCACCATGGAAAACCTGAAAGCACTGGACGGCCGTTTCGTCCTATTATGTGACTTCTCAGCAGCGTGCATCCACGATCCCTCCTCGTGAGATTTGAACCCAGGGCCTAGCAGTTTCACGCGTGAGCGCTTAACCTCTAGACCACTAAGCCGGCATCTAACGGTGTTAATTTTTAACTTCAACCGATCCACGGAATTGAGCAACACATCCATCAATGTCTTCAGTGAGTTACTATCTTACAGCAGACCTGGTTTAACTCCACTAGTTACTGCTTCTCACTAAAACTCCAGGAAATCCCTCATGGAGCCAGTCACTAGTCAGTATATGTTGATTATTATCTCATAATAGAACGAAACGGCCGTCCAGTGCTTCCAGGTTTTCCATGGTGGTCTAGCTTCAATTGATTAATGATCTCAACTATTGAAATATTTTTGATTATATAATATACTTTAAACATAATAAATGATAGATACATCCTACTCTATAGTTATCTTTTCAAGTTTAAAATATGATTATTTTTAGGGTAACATAATTGATGAAGTAAACCTTTATTTTATTAAATCATTCTAATATTCATACATTAATATTATATAATGAATTTGTTTATATGTATGTATGCCAAAGAACTCCTACTCACTGCCTTCTCGTGGCATTACTGTTGTTTACGAAGTTGAGAGGACAAAAAGCGAATGTCCGGCGCTTAAACCGGGCCAGTGGACATGTTGGGTCCACCTAGGAGAGTTGGAAAACCCTGATTTCGAATAAATGGTGCACATGAGCTCCAGTGTCCTGAGAGAACAAATGGAGTATGAACCAATTGTTGATCACTGGCTACCATGGGACTGCATCTCCTGACGTTACTCTACTGTCTTGGGGGTAGGTAGAAGGCACCGTCCAGGTATGGCCCCCCTAAGAAAACCACCTGCTTCGGTTTGGGCACCTGGGCAGTATCATAGCCCTCACACAATTAAATAAAATGACAATTTTTTTGTATGGCGCATATATATCTGGTGCCCCCTTGTTCCAATATTTATGTGTTCAAATGAATAAATAAGTGTTCACTACTATTAAAATACTAGTTCATCTTTCAGTTGTAACAGTCTTGATAAATAGTAAATTAGTAAACATATTGTTGGGGATGTCAAATCCCCAAAACTTACTTGGTAAATGGCTTAGTTTTGTAATTTTATTATGAAAATTTGAATTTGGCTGTTTTCGCGCCAAACGCGCTCTTTTTACCTTCACGTCATATTTCCCACTTGTAAACTATCTTAGACGCTATTGGTCCATTGTTTCTTTGTGTGTGCTATTTACTAATGGTGCTCAAGGACAAATTGTTGCTGTATAAATGCGCTTGACTTTTTCCCTTATTCGATTGCTTGTACTCGGCTGCTTACGGAATACATATATATTCCCCTACTTGCCTTGGACTTCTTCATCTAGTTAGTGGGGCCTTGGACAACAGATTAGAATAGCTTATCGTGTCATTGGCTTTCGTTCGTTACCGCGGAATCGATTCAGCTTCAAGCATATCACATATTAATTACTCTTTTGAATAGTTTAAAGCATATAATTGATATTCTAATTAGTATCTAAGCTTCAGCTACATATATATTGATTTATGAAGTATATATTGATTGAATAGTCTAATAATATCCAAGTACATGGTTTAATATTTAAACATTATAATTTCTAAACAACAGAATGATGAAAAAACATCCACAATTTTCTAGGCCTCTTTTATTTCTCAAGCATGGTAAGCAAAGATGGATAGTGGCCAGCAGTGGAAACTAGAACGCGCGTTTCGTCCTATTTGGGACTCGTCAGCTGGATGTACTTGCATCTCAGAGTTGATGTTCACTCATTATATCGAGGCAATACGCACATACATCAATTAGAGACTGACCAGTTGCAGTCCTAAAACATAAATGGGAATATTTAAACAAAACAATCCTAAGTGAATTTCTTTTAATTTTTCAGATGTGTTGTTTTATTTATTAAATACTAAAGTAACGGTTTTATTTTATTGTGTCATTGTTTAACAGTAACATAAAAATGTTTTAAATTCACTTTGTGTTGTTTACTTGTATCTTCACCCCATTGCATAAGCAGGTAGCTATCAGGATTCAGTAGCTAAGTGGATAACGCGATGGCGTTTGAAGCCAACATAACTGGGTTTGAGTCCCAAAGTGAACATCAACTCTGAGATGCAGGTACATCCAGCTGAAGAGTCCCAAATAGGACAGAACGCGCGTCCTTGATCCCGCTGCTAGCCACTATCCACCTTTGCTTATCAAGATGTTTTATTTAATTTTTTGACGATTAACGATTTATAATGTTCAATCCGATTAAATTTTGCAGTAAATTTTCATAGTTGAAATTATGAGTCAATTGAAGCTAGACCACCATGGAAAACCTGCGCGTCCACGATCCCGCACTCGAGAGATTCGAACCCAGGACCTACCAGTCTCGCGCCAGAGCACTTAACCGATTCTCCACAAAACCCCTTCTGATCTATATAGTAAATTGACAGCTTATAAAGTAATTTTAATTACCAATGATTAGTTTATTGAATCAATTATATGATTAGAATTTGCTTTACCCTGAAACTCCTTAATTCGAATGAAACTATCCTTACCGTTTTAAAAGGATTCTATTAAAATAATACGAATTCAACTCGAATCAGATAAAAAAAAGGTTGTTAAAAAGTGAGTAGGTAGATGGATTATATATCAACACAAAAACATGTGAAAACGCTTAGTCTGTTGGAAAAACAGTAGGAGAAGATTGACTATCAAGTCAATTATTGTTGAAGTGAATCATGTTGGTACCTGCCGACTACTTGGTTGGAGTTCATACGATTATCCTAACCAACAGTTAGTGATACAGAATATTGACCTAAATAGTGCAAATCCATCCGCTCTTTGCATTTCTTTTAGATTCTGAATTTTTAAACTATCTTTGTTTTATTTGGCAAATGTTTTTCATTAATATTGTTTATTTCTGATGGTTTCTAATACCAATGGTACTATTTGAATTTGACTATTCCGACATTTAATTTTATTTAGTTGCGCTGATAAGATGTGACGACATGAACCGATGTACGTACGTTACAGTGAACGAGATATTTCGACAGAATAAGCTTCATAAAACAATATTTATGTCAAGTTGTAGAACGGATGTTCCATGCATATGAAAATTTATATCTCCTTGAATTGGATTAGATGACTGACTTAAAAACTGATACAGTAATGTCATATCTATCTAAAGAAATACGTCGGATTATTATTTAAACCTTCGGAATACTGGAAGTTGCTTTGAGATATTCATTGTCCGAATTTAGCAAACGATAATGTATCGCTGGTCATCGCCTGTGTTATGAACTTTTCAGAACCCACCAAAATTCAAAATCAAGACTCAATGGATCGTACAGACTCGTGTCTAATAACATATTCCCAAATTAATGAGTAGTTCTATGAATATGACGAGGAAATTGGACAATAAATGTTCCCAAAAGTATATTAGATACAAACAAATACAAAGAATGTAGGACTATTTGCCTACCGCGAATTGACTGATCTCAGAAGACATATGAGACGTCAAATTTGAATACAGAGACTGGATGATGTATAACTGATATAATAAACTTCCCAGTGGAGAGATTCCTATTCGTAAATACATCAAATATACCCCTAAAATCCAGGAGAATTAAAAAGGGGTCATACAATCAATAGTTGAAATAGATCAACAATCACAGCATGTCGAGTTACTCTATACACTCAGAACTCGCCATCAGTCGATAATCTACGAAGATACCAGTACATACATTTGCTACGACCACAGGAATGAACTTGAAGAATGCTTTGCCTGGTTGACAACTTTCAACAGATCCCCACAAATATTAGTATTTCTTTGCTAACTAGATCTCATAAGTTCACTCGATTTACAATTTTGAGATTTCTTTCAGCTTCTTCGCTACAGTTGAGTACAGAGCTCAATTTAAAGTCATGAAACTTAATAGGACTTGTATCGTTGATTCTATTAATGGAAATAACTAATGTAAACATTGAGTCCCCAAATGTGAAGTATGTTTTTCTATTACCTAACAATTGTTGTAACATAGGGATTAGTGGAAACTGATTAATTTGTAGGTTGCATTACAAACGAACTCAAGTGAGACAATCGCTAAAAGCTAGGAAGAGTGAAATAGCTTCTTAGTCTTAGCACAAGACTCATCTGTAGTATACACCCACGACCCTACTAGCGATCGAACTCAGGACCTTCAGACTTAGAAGAGCCCTCAACCATCAAAACCTCCTGAGTATAATCCCTGGTGGATGTACACTACTAAGGAGTCTTATATAAGCATAAGATAGTTGTCCAACACTTCTTAGACTTTAACGGCTTTCTAAAGAAAGTCAGTTCATAATTCAAACTAAAAATTATTGTAAAACGTGTCAGTCATCATCTGGGAACAATTTCATGCTAATAAGTGTAGTTGTGGTAGTTACAATTTTGATAATTTTATCTCACTGTGTTGATGCCAGTGCGGAAACTTGAATCGATGGCAATATATCAAAGTTTATGTCTAACTGACATTTTGAGAATGTTTTTTATGTTAACAACTAACCTTACATAAGCTGTACAAAGTTATCGTCAATCGAATCGCATTTGACATGGCTGATTGGAAGAAATCTAGGAGTGGTCGATCTATGATATTGTATCAGTCAACAAAATCGTTGTCTGTTAAGTTCAGCTGTATGAGATGTTGACTAACTGGTTGAGGTAAACTTGACAATTACAACTGGAAACTATAAGATAATATGGCTCCATATCAACTAAGTTATATGTAAATACATCCATTGCTCACTTTTTCTCCTACAATTTCCACTCTATGACTTTGATTCCTTTAGCATTTTACCTTCCTGTGCTGATGTGACAAGTTGGGTCACTTGTATCCCGTTCTAGGTTTATTATAATGACTGACTAATGATGGAACGGTTGGTTTTTTTCTAGTTCCAAACTATCGTAACCAAAGTCAGAGACTTTGGGTGACATGGCTCAGAATCGTTCACAATGGCGTAGGTGTATACACTCTTTATCTTCCCTTAAACCTTAATATTAAAATTGCTTCATAACTTTCTTCTTTCCTATAATATATCCTTATATACAACCTATCTTTTATATACTACCACCACTAAGTTAACTACTTCTATGAATCCGGTGTTCATCTTGTTGTGCTAACGAGGTATGGCAACTTGGACTGATGCATAAGTGTGCCTGGTCCTACGTTGTAACTGACTGACTGAGTTTCAAACTCCTTAGTAAAATGTAAATCAACTCTACTAAGTAATTTATTATAAGAATTATGGAATACAGAGAATGTACAAATGGGATAGAAGTGAACTGAGGACAATGTACAATTCAGAATAATTATGATCACTGATAAAAATACATATAAATGCTACAAAATATAATTCAAAGACATCTACATGTAAAACAAGTCAAGTGTAATTAACTATATATATATCATTGAAAGCTAATTATTGTCATTTGAACCAATCAAATATAATTAAACTATATTCATAAACAAGAAATGTAATTCCACAAGCAGGAGTACATCGGAGTACATATGGAACAAGTCCTTTATAAAATCCATGAACACCTTCACCTCTATATTATAAAAAAAACAGAAAGATGAGCAAGTATATATATAAGTGAGGAACAATGATGACAATTATATATGTAAAGTACAGTATCTAATTTGATATCGATACGTAATTTTCCCATACACGAAGAGAACCGGATACTAGCGTGAGAAGGAAGTTTATATACGATGCAGAATATGGAATATATGTGCACCCTCAGTTCCTGAGGGAATGAAGTGACCAATGGTGCGTGTTTCACACCTTAAGAATTAAAATTCACTGTTTGGCCAATCACGCACACTTAAAATTTGGTCGATTTACGATCTACAACTCTGCCTGCAGCTCTTCTGGGGTTACTACCGGTTGCAGAACCGGATAAAGTAGGGGGTTGAGCATGGGGTCAGAAACACAATCCTGCAGAAAACAACATTGCCAAAAAATGCAAAACTCTGTCCTGGGGGTTGGAGGATCTTCTATCAGAAGAATAATGACGCCTCATGATGAAAGCTGAGATTCTTTGGTAGTCACGAGGCCATTGTCCCTTCTAAAAGTCAGAGCGACAATTTTATCGGTATCTGGAACATCCGAAAAATGTCGGAGACCGGGAGGACCAGCCAAATAGCAACGGAAATGAGGACATACAACTTAGCGGTGCTCAGAATAAATAAAAAAACTGACCCCAACTGGACAGGCCGTTGTACTCTAGTCATGAACAAGAAAATGTCGCCCACAAACAAGGAGTTGCAATGGAGGAGTTCGAAAAAGCACCAAAAGAACTTATAGAATGGGAATCATATGTATTGAGGAACATCAAAGCATCCATCAAAAGAAGTAGGCACGATAAAGACAACTATTGACACCCTGGTCAAGATTCAAGAAAAGAAGACAGCAACTAACAACAGCCGAACCAGAACAGCGAAAGTCAAGGCAAAAGCAGAGTACACAGAAGCAAATAGGTAAATGAAGGGGAGCATTAAAGCCGACAAACAGAAATATGTGAAAGACCTATCAACGACAGCGGAAAAAGCTGAAACAGAAGGGAATACCAGACGACTACATGACACTTCGAGAAACTGACAGCAAAGTATAGTAAACGAGGGAGACCAGTAAAGGATAAAGAAGGCAAGTCAATCATTGAAGTTTAAGAACAGAGGAACAGATGGGTGGAACACTTCGAGAAACTCTTGAACAGGTCAGCTTCATTGAATCCACCAGATATCGAAGCAGCACACACAGACCTTCCTATAGACGTCACTCCACCAACGATCGAAGAAATTAGGATGGTCATCAAACAAATTAAGAGTGGAAAAGCAGCAGGACCTGACAATATACCAGCTTAAGCACTGGATCCACACATAGAAGGAAGATTTGGGAGGAAGAACAAGTGCCGACAGACTGGAAAGAAGGATATTTCATCAAGATACCGAAGAAAGGCGATCTGAGCAAATTTAAGAACTACAGGGGCATCACACTACTATCAGTACCAGAAAACGTTTTCAACAGTGTTGCTGAACCGGATGGAAAACTCAGTAGACGCCAAAATTCGAGATGAATAGACCAGGTTCCGTAGGGATTGATCGTGCAAAGATCAAGTCGCAACACCACGGATCAATGAAATTAATATTATTACTATTATTCAATACTTTCTTGTTTTTCTTCCCGCTTGCTTTCCTGATGTAAGATGTCATCACTTAAATTGATGCTCATTCATTCTAAATCGTACATTCTCTATACCTTTGCCTAGTAGATATCCACAATTGTATTCAAATATAAAGATTTTAAATACTATGAGGAGTTCTGGGCTGTAAGTTATGTATGACCGACTGACTATTGCAGTACACAGAAAAATTTAAAGTACATAATGAAACTCAAATACATTTCATGAAATTTTTTATTGTCTTTTCGAAGGATTTTGTTGATCATTTTAAACATAAAATGTTACTCGTAAAATTTCAATATAGCTGGTTTTATGTTACAAGTAGTGAATAAAACAATAGATGAAGGTTGAAAATGGTAACATAATGATTATTTTACTTTCAAAAGTATGTAAATTTGATTTATAAGGAGTACAAAAGACAACTCCGCCTGTAGCTCTTCTAGAGTTACTGCCAGTCCCAAGCCCGGGTAAAGGAGAAGGGTTGGGCATGGGGTTAGCGACCCCATCCCGTAGAAAAACTAACTCGCTAAAAATCGCTAACCAGAAAAAATAATTCAAGCTATTTATGCTGGTCAGCGGCCTATGCTCCTCCACGAGGGGCAACAGGTGTATGTAAGTAAGTACAGATGACAGATCAGAGTCTAATATTAAAGAGCACATGGAAAATTTATTTTCTTACTTTACATTTAACTACTAAATTTAATAAAATTAAAAAACGAATTTTCATCTATGAATATAAAATTTCTGGGAAATAACAGTATTTTCTTACAGACAAAAAAGAGTAATTCAACTGAACTTAAAACAGAAACTAACTAACCTCCACAATTGTCGAATAACATCAGTAACTCCATTGTATTTCCTATGCTGGTCTTGCATTCTTGAACGAACAACTTGGTACGGATAAGTTATGACAGCTGCAATTAGTTTAGAAGCAGATGAAAATGTTAGGTACTCGATAGCGGACTAAAATTAAAATGGAGAGAGAGTAAGAAAGAAGACATTGAAAGGGCATCAAATGTTTTGCCTTAAAAAGTTCAACAAATTTTCTAGCCAAAAAACTACAAGTTACATCTATTATATAAGAACTAATAACACTATCTAACTAATGTAAAACATATTATTCCTTGCTCACTCGTTGTGTATCACACCAAACTATTTAATCATATTCAGTAGTTTTTACGCTTGAATGCCCTGGTGCGGCGGGTAAGAGAGTCCATTCTTCCACTCAAAATGTTCTCATACGACCAAGTGTATATGGTCAATGTCAGTTATTACATTTCTCTATGATAGACCTTAGCCTCTCGTAAGACTGACCTCTATCGTCTTTTTCACTTTCATTGGTGGATGTATGGCACTGGATAACACTCATTATAATACCCTGCTTCTTTGTTTTGAACAATGTTTTGGTGATTCTAGGTCCATGAGACTCCCATCCTGTAATTTCTTCTCATGCTTCGTTGGACAGCATCAGTGCAATTTCTTATGTGTGATATGTATTTTCCACTTTATGAACAGAATATAACACCATCTCTCATGAAGTTGAACGATCCCCTCCGGCTTGAATGTAATGAGTTTTACATATTCCGAATACTATCAGGTTGTATTTCCTCATTTTCGCAGATATTTGATTGGTCCTCTTGGTCTGGACATTCCATAAACCTATAATAATTGTTGCTCTGCTTGTTAAAAGGGGCATCGGCCCTCGTGACTTCCGGAGAATCTCAGCTTTCAACATGAGGGGTCATAATTCTTCCTTCGACTCCCAGGGCAGAGTTTAAATGGTTTAATTTGTTTAATCTAGTTAGCGTTTTTTTAGCAAGGTTGATTTCTACGGGATGAGGTTACTAGCCCCACGCCCAACCCACCTCGTTTTCCCAGCCCCAGAAGAGCTACAACGCGGAGTTACTATTAATGAGTAGTTATTATTTTACTTGAAGACATTGATAATAGAATAGTTGAGAAAAATGAAAGATAACCTACCAGTTTCTCGCTAACTGACTTTCCTCGATAACGTGTATTATAAGAATTTTTAAAATGTTCATAAAACACAAATTGGATAGCACCATGACTAACACCGAATAAACCGGGTACATAACCACGATACAATCCAGCAAAACCTTCATGAATCCATAGATTATACAAAGCATGATATGTGGATTGAGAATGTGTTACTAATGATGGATTTGTAATTTGAGATTTTGGAACAGATTTCATTCCTTCTTCATACTGTAAACACAATCTAGTTTTAATCACCCAAATTGGATTTACAATTGAAAGTGTAATCACACCTGAAAATGTAATTAATATTAAGTATATGAGTATTTATGAAGTTGAAAGATTCCCATTGTGAAAATTAGAACAACATATGTAAGCGAACAGTATTGTTTTCAATTAGATCGTCATCAGGCTTTACTCTAATATACATGAATATTTATGTGAAAATGTTAGACCAATCACAAGGCTATTTGAGTCAATAATAATCACAATGAAATAGAAATACGTTACCAAGCATAATAATAGTTAAAAGTACAAGTTGATAGTGGGAAGACAGATGTACTGATAGTAGTAGTAAGAATAGTAAATTACGATAACAAAAGTCTTATCAATAATTAAACATTGAGAATTAAGAGGTCAAACATGGGTAAATAGACTGGAATAGTAATCACAAAACATTAAAATCATTACGTAATAAGAAGGATGTAAGTAAATAGATAGTGAAGAATACAAACGGAAAGAGGTAGAAAATTACAAAAAAAAATGATAACCAAAATAAAATGTTTACAAATAATAATAATGTCATTTATTAAGTTATGTCCGGCCATGGAAGGGATAGGGGAGTCACGAATTTCTTCTGTACACATAAATTGGGATGGAATGTACGAATTCCTATGGCTTCTGCTATATGAAGTAGACGGGAGCGAACTCCGTTGGGAAACGATGGAGGTGTACGATAGATTACTTGAAATGATTTCAATTTATCAACAATATAACCACTATCAATTAGATGTGCCAAGATAGAACTGCGTATTGTTTTTATTTGGCCCTTTCCAAACCATGCTGGTAGATGTTCACTCATTCGTTGGTTAAGTTGCCTAGTAGTACGCCCGATATAGCTATCTCCACAGGAGCAGCTGAACTTATAAATGCATATAGAGGAGGCCAACTCAGGTAACTTATCCTTCGTTTGAGTAGACATTACTGGTCGACTCGAGAAAGTCAATGCGAGATAGGCTCCGTAGAAAGTTCTACTAATTACTTTTGTTAATCTATCTTTCAGAGTTTCACTAGCTACATCCCCGTTGAATGGTAATTTCATGTATAGAGGCTTCTTACGAACAGTTGAAATCTCCGATTTCTTCCTTGTATCATACATGTACTTTTTGATGAACGCAGCAGGGTAGCCGATCTCAGTCAGTGAGTTATAGATAAATTGCAGTTCCTGACTTAAAGTATCAACAGAACAGATCTTATTTGTTCTACTAGTGAGGCATCTAACCAAGTTTCTCTTATATTGGATAGGTGTAAAGCTATAGAAGTGAGTGTATTGGCAGGCAGAGGGTCTTTTTCTATACACGCTTCTACTTAACGAGCCATCACTTTCCGTTTGTATTCTTCACTATCTAATTACTTACATCCTTCTTATTACGTAATGATTTTAATGTTTTGTGATTACTATTCCAGTCTATTTACCCATGTTTGACCTCTTAATTCTCAATGTTTAATTATTGATAAGACTTTTGTTATCGTAATTTACTATTCTTACTACTACTATCAGTACACCTGTCTTCCCACTATCAACTTGCACTTTTAACTATTATTAGGCTTGGTAACGTATTCTATTTCATTGTGATTATTATTGACTCAAATAGCCTTGATTGGTCTAACATTTTCATATAAATATTCATGTATATTAGAGTAAAGCCTGATGACGATCTAATTGAAAACAATACTGTTCGCTTACATATGTTGTTCTATTTATGAAGTTACTTGTTATGGTTTTGGAAATCAACTAACAAAAATGTGATTTTAAGGAGCTGGATTTGAGTTACTGTGAGGTTTCAGTTATTTAACAAATCCTATTAGGGAGATTTTGATCGAATGTTTAGAAACTAAAGTACATTCTAACAACGTGCAATATGAAAAGTACTTTGTCTTCTGGTAGTCAAATCTATAAAATTGGACACGTCAACATTAAGCTATCTGTGCCATGACAGCCCAACTCTTGTATATATATATATCACTAATCAGTACTGCTGACACTTGATGATCCCGAACATACTCAAAAGACATTTTGATTGATAAATATGGGTTTCAAAAGTATATCGTTTATTTAGTTTACGACTAAATAGTGCAACTGCATGACCACAAGCCGAAAAATACGCATCACTTCTGGACCTGATACTACGTAGTTAGTCAAAAGTAGAGGGGTTTAAATACTAGGGCATTGATCAGATGGTTTACCAACGTTCTCAACAGCGTAATCCAGACCTTTTCTAAACTGTGTTTCAGTGATTTTATTACTCAGTTATTTAAAATTACACATCATTAAATAGGATAAGAAAATGAGGTTATTATTTTAGAAATTACCTGACAAAGCAGCATATGTGAGATATTGATTGGTAGTGAGAGATTTGGTTTCATCACCACGATGGGCAAATCTTTTCAAGCTTTCATAGCTGTTAAGTGAAAGATACATGTTCCAGCGTGAATTAGTGAAGACTAAATTAGTTAAAATGTGATAAGGATGGAGTTGATGTAACAGTATGATCAAGGTAAAACTTGAAAAAAGAGTGGATAAACTGTTGAAAAAACGAAACCGTTATACTTTGACACAAATTGTGTAAAGATATATCCATTCGTAATTGGTACTTGGGCGTTTAATTTCTTATCTCGACATTTCAAAGATTTAGTCGTCTGGTTCAGTTTGAACGACTAGTTTTATTATTAGCTCTACTACAAAAAGTATGATCAACGGTCTGAATACATAAACTTGTATTTGGTTAGAGATGTGTATAAGTAGTAATAATTGGTAAAGGTTATCCAATTAATTGTCAAAACTCATTTTACTTACACTATAGAGATTAACTTTCAGTTTTTTAACCTACTGCAGCCTCAGCAGCAGAAGGTCTCAATATAAACAAAGGGAAAAGCAAGACTCTCCGGTACAATACAACATGCACCAATCGAATTACACTTGACGGAGAAGCTTTGGAGAATGTGGAAACCCTTACATATCTGGGCAGCATCATCGATAAACACGGTGGATCAGATGCAGATGTGAGAGAGAGGATCGGAAAAGGAAGAGCAGCATATTCACAACTGAAGAACATCTGGAACTCAAAACAATTGTCAACCAACATCAAGATCAAAATTTTCAATACAAATGTCAAGACAGTTCTATTGTATGGGGCGGAGACGTGGAGAACTACGAAAACCATTATCCAGAAGATACAAGTGTTTATTAACAGTTGTCTACGCAAGATATTTCGGATCCATTGGCCAGACACTATCAGCAACAAGTTACTGTGGGAGAGAACAAACCAGATTCCAGCGGAGGAAGAAGCGCTAGAAGTGGGTTGGGCACACTTTGAGGAAATCACCCAATTGCGTCACAAGACAAGCCCTCACATGGAATCCTGCAGGCCAAAGGAGAAGAGAAAGACCAAAGAACACATTACACCGAGAAACGGAGACAGACATGAGAAGAATGAACAAAAACTGGATATAACTAGAAAGGAAGGCGGAGGACAGAGTGGGTTGGAGAAAGCTGATCGGCGGCCTATGCTCCATTGGGAGTAACAGGCGTAAGTACGTAATAGAGATTGTACGTGTTTTATAATTACTTTGTAAGTTTTCAGATATTCCAAACTTACTCAAGATGGTGATTTTAACTGATTTTACCAAGCATATTTACTTGCGATATAGAAACTACCTGCTGAAATTCAACTAGATCTGATGACTCAAGCAGTAGTTAGGTTAGTGGAAAATAGGAACAATCAAGGATTATCTTACACCGCTGTTGATATTAGCCCAGTTTAAGAATATATATCTAATTTTCAACTGAAACAACCTCTGGGTAAATAGACAGTCAAAACCTTGCAAATGCATTTGTCTGGCTATTCACTAAGTTATTCTGTGGATAAACTAACTCTGGTAAATATATAATAACACCACAGGAAAAATTACTTACAAGAAAAAATACAAACCCCACGAACTACCCGCTCCAATAGCATTCGGAGCTAAACCAAGGTAAAGACCACGAAGACCTCTTAACTGAACTATCTCATACAAGGTTCGAATAGTTCCCGTTGTTTTGGGTCTATATAATAAATAAATAGTGAGTATTGATGACGGTCATTTTTATGAAGTAACGAACGATAATGATAATAACAAAAATAATAAAGTTCAACCAGGAAATTTCTGTTTTTCAAACATCTAGAATACTTTATTAGAGAGTACATTTTTGTGCTCACTGAGTGACTAATGATAACAAAAGGTTTGCGACAAAAAAACGACTAAAATGAGAAGTTACTAGTATAGCAAAAATGAAAGCTTTAGAATCTGACCTTAATAAAGAGTGGTCCTCATTAATTTTTGTTATTTGAACACAATTATTGGCACAAAGGAGCACTGAATACATACGCGCCACCCATGTCACTTGGTTTGTGTGTGGGCTATGGTATTGCCCGGGTGCCCAGAACGAAGCAGGTAGTATTCTTAGGGGGCCACATCCACAGCCTTCAATCTAAAGGTCTGATCCATAAGGCAATGGAGTAACGTCAGGAGATGCAGTCCTACGGTAGCCAGTGACCAACAATTGGTTCATACGCCATTTGTTGCTCATGTGCACCATTGGTTCCGAATCACGGTTTTCCAACTCCCTTGGGTGGAATCTCCGTGTCCACCAACCCAGTCAAAGCGCCGGATATTCGCTTCTCGTCCTCTTAATTTCGTTAACAACAATCGCCACGAGAAGGCAGTGAGTAGGACTTCCTTAGGAGTGACTGTATTTGCGTGGCCATGTAAGAACACTTCGAAAGGGAGAGCGCTAAATATAAAAAATACTGTGGGCATTAGTAACTACCTGATTGCCAGATGGATGATTCGAACAAGAGATCAACTGGTTGCAAGTCAACTGTAGATAGCTTAAATGGAGTACCTAACGTGTCTGATAGCATCCTCAAGATCAGTCAGATTTCCAATAACGGTGGGAGAGTACATGATGGGTTGCATGTATACATAATCCAATGGTCTACCACTGTTATGTGTGGTTGTGTCGCAGAATTTTTGTAGTACTCAAGTTGTAGAGAGCTTGGTGTCTATCTGAAAATCAGTATAATTACCGCCTTGTAAAGTGTATCTAAAAATCCTCGGGTGCTTCGAAATTCCTTTGCAATCGTTTCTCAAATATACCAATTAAATAACTATCAAGGGCCTATCCTATTTACAATTATTTGGATATGCAGTTGATTCAATCAAAATAAACGTTTGTTAAACCACAGAAAGCTTATTAACGAAACCATCAACTGAGGGCTAGACTTAACACAACTTAATGTCAGCGGAAACTAGTACACCGATCCCACTGACCCCACCAAAAAAGTACGTAAAACGCAGCGATCAAAAATCGGTCCCAACCTGCATGCGATAACACCTGTACCTTCATTCACCTGCAATCTGATTTTGGCCAAATCCAATGGATGCAAAACAAAAACGGATACAACTCCCCCAGTCACGCCAGCTACCAAGTGCTGCCACTGAGTTTTGTCCAGAAAACTGGTCATATATTTTTAAAAGTCCAAAAATGTTAGTCAGCTTCCTGGTATCCACCGAAAAGAATGATGAAGTCTTAAGGGAGTGTTTGAGAATTGACTAGTATTTTTAGATTAATTAAGAAGCTCATATCTGGAGAATAAAAGCAGGAGAGATTGTGGTTTAGAATGTTTATAGGACTTTCAGAACGATTGCATCTTGGTACATTGAAGAAAATATCAAAAATTTAGTCATTTGAATTACAAGTTAGGTGGTGGCTTAGCAGTAATAAAGTAAATTACCCGACTATTAAGTGGCGAGTTACAAATTCACCAGAGTATAAATATTAATAACCATCATAAAGTACTGTTTTAGATTAAAGCAATAACTGTTCACTAATTTGTAATGCTTCAACATTTACGAACTCACAGTACTAATTAGTGAATGTATCCAGACATTACTTACTTACTTACGCCTGTTACCCCTCGTCGAGGAGCATAGGTCACTCACCAGCATTCTCCATCCAACTCTGTCCTGAGCCTTCCTTTCCAGTATTTTTTATTTATTTAATCACATATATATTGGTACAAAGGGCACCGGATACGTGTGCGCCACACAAAATAATGAGAATGGGAGGAGAAGGAAGAAGATGCGTATATATAAAAGAAGGAAAAAAAGAAAAGAAGAGTAATGATGGGGGAACTGAAATGTACAACCAGAAGGGCTCTCTCAGTTAGGAAAGTTATAGCCACTCTTTATGAAGAAAGTAAAAAAAGGTTAAAGCAGGATCGCCACTGACTTCTATTCTGAGCCATATATGATAACGTCTCTAGCCACTGTGTTGCACCATCTCTCGGACCCCAGCCAGGGAGTCGTGAAGGACCAACAGAAGCTAGCCCTTTGCAGCTTTCTTTCATACCACGACACCATGTAATACACTGACCTCCTCTCCGCTTTTTCCAACCAGTCACAGGGTCTGCAAATAATGCACGACGTGGAATTCTCTAGGACGACATTCGTAAAACATGTCCAAGCCACCGAAGTCGGTGTTTCAAGATGGTGACACCAATTGAATTATCGTCTCTGCGCCCGAACACACGATGCCGAACCTCTGCATTACTAACATGGTGTTGCCACTGAATGTCAGCAATCCTTCGGAGACAACGATGATCGAACACAGAGAGACGTCTAACATCCTCAACTCGGAGAGGCCAGGTTTCACAAGCATAGAGCAAAACTGCTCTCACCGACGCGTTGTAGATCCGACCTTTTACAGGCAGACTAACATCACAGAGGCGCCAAAGATCGCCCGGATTGGTATAAGCCGCTCTGGCTTTCATTATACGTGCATCAATTTCATCACTCACGCCCCCACCAGCACTTATGTAGCTACCTAGATACACGAACTTATCAACTACTTCAATCTGCTCACCATCTAGGGTGAGTACAGGATGAGAATCCTGCCAGTCTTGTAGGAGTACTTTGCACTTGGAGGGTGCAAAGCACATGCCGTACTTGCGGACACTGATTGCCAAATGATTAAGTGCTGATTGCATGCCTTGGGCATTATCGCACAGTAAGACAATATCATCCGCATACTCAAGGTCAAGAAGTCGTTCTCCAGGCAACATATTCACACCGCCATTACTTACATCTATCAGAGCTGCTTCAAGGATGTCGTCGATGGCAAAGTTGAAGAGGAATGGTGAGATCAGGCAACCCTGCCTAACCCCACTGCTCGAATGGAACAAGGGAGAAAGGTGGTTGTATGCCCTCACTCTGCCTGAGGTGTTCGTATAAAGGGCCTTTAAGATGTTAATGAACTTCTCAGGCACACCCTTCTTCAATAGACAATCCCAGAGAACAGTCCTGTCCAAAGAATCAAAGGCAGCCCTGATATCACGAAACACTACGATTGTCGGCCTGCGATAAGTATGACGGTGCTCTAACATTTGGCGGAGGGTGAAGATGTGATCAATGCATCCTCGACCAGAACGAAAACCAGCCTGCTCCTCGCGAGTCAATCGATCTCGGGTTTTAAACAACCTACGAAGAATGATAGAAGCCAATAGTTTGGACGCAATCGGAAGTAGACTTATCCCCCGATAGTTATCACAGGAACAACGTGAACCCTTTTTAAAGATAGGGAAGACTATCGACTCATTCCATGATGTTGGAACACTTTCTTGCTCCCAAACCTTTGCAAACAACACCGTCAGTTCCTTAGTCAGAAAGTCACCACCATCTTTAAAAAGAGCCGGAGGTAAGTCATCTGGGCCCGGTGATTTGTAACTTTTCAAGAGTTGGAGTTTCTTGCGGACTTCCGCCTCGTTTGGTGGATCAATCGTCACCGACCATTGGGGGCAAGACAAACTGGTTGATGTTGCCGGAGCAGCAGGCCAGTTGAACTGCCCTTCGAAAAATTCCGCCCATCGTCCAAGACTTCGAGAGATGTTAGTGATTGGCATCCCATCATCCTCGTAGATTGTTTCATTAACACCAGACTTCTTGCTGCCAGTGGCTCGGATGAGTTGGAAGAACTTCCGGCAGTTACCAGATGCAGCTGCTGCTTCCATCTCATTAGCACGCACCGACCACCAGGCTTCTCGGTCCTTACGCAAGCTTTGCCCGATTTCATTACGTAACAGCCTTCGTTTGTGGTCAAACTCACGGTCACCCGGAGTAGACCGACGGGCTTCGATCAGTTGTAAGGAGCCAGAAGAAACCCAGCGCTTGTAAGCGGGACGTTTCGCGAAGCCGCAAGCGGCTTTACTCGCCATTTTCATGGCGTCGTGAAGATGCAACTAATGCTCATCTATACTTTTCGGTGGGATGGTAGTTAGCCTAGAAGCTAGCTCCGCTAGATACTTACTTGCAACAGAAGTTGCAGCCAGTTTACTAACATCGACCCGTTTATGGCGGTCAATCGTTCGGCCACTGAAAAGTAAGGTGAGATTGGCGCAGACCAGGGCATGATCAGACTCCAGATAGGTACTCCAAAAGGAGCGGCAGTCTTGTACACAACCACGCCAGCGGTAGCTGATCGCGATGTGATCAATCTGAGTCCAGGCTTGGGATGCAGAGGGAGGACGCCAGGTGGCACACCGGCGATGACTGTGCCGGAAGTTAGTGCTGGCCAGTATCCCGACATACTCCACATTTTTGACCTTAGCAAAGCCAGTTTAGCTAAACAGTAGCTAACAGAGAATGTTCCATGGACTGAAACGGAAGTATACATAAAGGCCTCAAATTATTGTACTTTAATGTGTTATCAACACCCAAACGAATGTATACATAGAATATTTCTATGCACAAATTGACAACGGTGACATGACTAAACTGGGGGTTATGTAAAGGCAATACAGATTAATTTACCATAGTTAATGAGTTTGACGTTGAAAAATGATCTGATATGTTGAATTTGGAGATAAAATGAATCTCCTCTTCCAGTCAACACACTAAAGTAGTGAAAGTAGGAGACCTATTAACCTGTACCAATTCTTTTAAAAAGTATATCTGTGAATATTAGATACAATAGGGTGTCATGATTAATAAGATTAATTGAAACTTCGGAGGTTTTAAGCCTTCACAGATTAAGACAGATTATTGGCCGGATGATTTTCCATGACCAAGCCTTAAGAGGTTGAAAACTGTCTTCAGTAGTAAGGATAGGAGGTCTATTGACCTATATTAATCCTTGCAGTTTGTTACACTGTGAAGGTATAATCTCGTTCTGAATATATCAGCAGAAGGCGATGATATTGCGTGTTCTGTTAGACAATTCCAGTAATTCATTACTCGGTGCGAGAAACGGAACTCCAGACGTAAACGATTTGATCTCGGTTTTTGGACTTTCTTCGAATGTTTATTTATTTAAACACATAAATATTGGTACATGGAAGCACCAGATAAATATGCGCCTCACAAATCTCATTCGATTTGTGTGAGGGCTGTGTTACTGCACAGGTGCCCAGACTGAAGCAGGTGGTTTTCTTAGAGGACCACACCCGGAGCCTTTGACCCGAAAGTCTAGTCCACAAAGAAGTGGAGCATCGTGAGGAGGTGCAGTCCAATAGTAGCCAGTGACTAACAGTTGGTTCATACGCCATTCGTTCCTTCAGGATCCTGAAGCCCATGTGCACCATTGGTTTGGAATCAGGGTTTTCCAACTCCCCTAGGTGTATACATTACGTCCACCAAACCGGTTAAAGCTCCGGACATTCGCTTTTCGTCCCCTCACTTATGTGAACAACACCCCCGCCACGAGAAGGCAGTGAGTAGGACTTTCGTGACAGAAGCTATATATTTGCGTGGCCATATGAGAGCATTTCGAGAGGGCGACCAGACTCTCCGAACTCTCGGTCGTACCGGGGCATTTTTTCTTCTAATGTCTTCTCAAATGATCAGTCCTAGACGGGAGGAAAAAATAGGACATATTAGTACCAAGGTCATCGTTCAGGATACGATAAACCAATATTAGATCACCTAGTATTCGCCGGTAAGATAACGGAAATAAGTTGAGGTGTCTCAGTCTGTCTTCATAAGATAAGTCAAATAGGCCTTTTACCATTTTTGTCCTGCGGCGTTGGACTCCTTCCAGCATATCCACCTCACATTGAAGCAAGGACTCGCTGCTTGAATCCCACATTCCAAATGTGATCGCACGAAAGTTGGGTATAATAATCTAAACATTTCCCCATCCAGATACCGGAAATATCTACGAATAGACCATAATACCTTATAGCCTTTTGCAGCAGCAGCCTTACAGTGACTGGTTGTTTTGAGATCATTACTTAGTGTGACTCCTAAATCTTTATAGTTTCTTACTTTGGGCAACACTAGTCCACATATTATGTAGTAATACGAATCATCGTAGTTATTTAATTGCATCACTACACTTTTGTTAGGATTTACTTCTAGTGACCACCTGTTCATCCATGCCACTAATGAGTTAAGATCTTCCTGTAATACTATTCTGTCTGACATGCTATATATGGGTCTCCAAATCTTTATGTCATCGGTGAATAGTAGGACGGATGACTTAGCTATAGTTGGCAATTCATTTACATAAAGTAAAAAGGGAAGAGGACCTAGTATTTTGCCTTGGGGGACTCCACTTTTTACTGGTTCCCACGATGAGAGAGCTCCATTTATTCTTACCCTTTGTCTCCTGTCATGAAGAAAGTCACTTATCCAGTCTACGGCTGCATAATGAATTTCAAAACTTTCCAGTTTTAATTTAAGACCAGAGTGGGAGACCTTATCAAAGGCTTTACTTAGATCTATGAAAATCACATCTACAGGAATATTTCGATCTTTTGCCTCAGCCCAATCTTCTCTTGCAATGAGATTTCTCAAACATGATAGGCCTTTCCGAAAACCATGTTGTTCCCTGGATAAAAGATCATGCCCTTCCACATAGTTTACAACAGCCATCCGAATATTTTTTCCATCAGTTTTACAACTGCACTAGTTAAGCTAACAGGTCGATAGTTACTAACTAAATCTCTATTCCCAGCCATATACACCGGACTAATTATCGCGTCTTTCCAGTCTCTGGGCAATCCGGACTGCCGTAGGGACATATCAAACAGTACCGCTAAAGGTTCAGCAATTTTATCTGATAGGGCTTTCATAATCCTAGGATGAATATCATCAGAGCCACTGGACTTATCAGGTTTGAGATACTGAAGTGGTCTTAAGACAGTAACTTTCTCAATATCTACAGGGTCCATCAACAAGACGTCACAATCACAATGAATCGGTGATCCTTCCTCATTACTGATAGAAAAAACTTCACTGAAATAGCCCGATAGAGCCAAAGCTTTTTCTATATCATTTCTTGCCAACCTAAATATTCTTCCCCCATTAGTGAATGGCGATCACGCTGTTTTATTATTCACGTTTAGAGCTAGCGCCCAAACAAATGGAGAGCTAACATACCAGCCATTCAGGAGTGTGCTGCTAAGATATATTGGTCAGTAGATACTAGCTCACCAGTTGAAGAGGCGTGGTCTATATTTAAAGACAAGTTTAGCGCAGTCACGTCCCCGTTCATACCATACTTGGTACCACGTAGACCGAATAATAGTTCACCATGGATAAATAGACAAGTCAAGAAACTTCTCAGGCGTAGGAAAAAGCACTGGAATATGTTCATCTCTACTGGCTTAGAGCAGTACAGATCCAGTTATTGTTAGATTAGAAATACTTGTAAAGCGTTAATTAGTAAGACTAGACGGTCATATGAAAAACAATTGGTTAGGGATTGTAAATATAGTCCAAAACGGTTATTCTCGTATATAAAGAGGCGAACTCAGAGAAGTGATGGAATCCCATCACTTTTGGTACAAGAAAATACGTTAATTTTGGCAAGAAATGATATAGAAAAAGCTGAGGCTCTATCGGGCTATTTCAGTAAAGTTTTTTCTATCAGTAATGAGGAAGGATCACCGATTCATTGTGATTGTGGCGTCTTGTTGATGGACCCTGTAGATATTGAGAAAGTTACTGTCTTAAGACCACTTCAGTATCTCAAACCTGATAAGTCCAGTGGCTCTGATGATATTCATCCTAGGATTATGAAAGCCCTATCACATAAAATTGCTGAACCTTTAGCGGTACTGTTTGATATGTCCCTACGGCAGTCCGGATTGCCCAGAGACTGGAAAGACGCGATAATTAGTCCGGTGTATATGGCTGGGAATAGAGATTTAGTTAGTAACTATCGACCTGTTAGCTTAACTAGTGCAGTTGTAAAACTGATGGAAAAAATATTCGGATGGCTGTTGTAAACTATGTGGAAGGGCATGATCTTTTATCCAGGGAACAACATGGTTTTCGGAAAGGCCTATCATGTTTGAGAAATCTCATTGCAAGAGAAGATTGGGCTGAGGCAAAAGATCGAAATATTCCTGTAGATGTGATTTTCATAGATCTAAGTAAAGCCTTTGATAAGGTCTCCCACTCTGGTCTTAAATTAAAACTGGAAAGTTTTGAAATTCATTATGCAGCCGTAGACTGGATAAGTGACTTTCTTCATGACAGGAGACAAAGGGTAAGAATAAATGGAGCTCTCTCATCGTGGGAACCAGTAAAAAGTGGAGTCCCCCAAGGCAAAATACTAGGTCCTCTTCCCTTTTTACTTTATGTAAATGAATTGCCAACTATAGCTAAGTCATCCGTCCTACTATTCACCGATGACATAAAGATTTGGAGACCCATATATAGCATGTCAGACAGAATAGTATTACAGGAAGATCTTAACTCATTAGTGGCATGGATGAACAGGTGGTCACTAGAAGTAAATCCTAACAAAAGTGTAGTGATGCAATTAAATAACTACGATGATTCGTATTACTACATAATATGTGGACTAGTGTTGCCCAAAGTAAGAAACTATAAAGATTTAGGAGTCACACTAAGTAATGATCTCAAAACAACCAGTCACTGTAAGGCTGCTGCTGCAAAAGGCTATAAGGTATTATGGTCTATTCGTAGATATTTCCGGTATCTGGATGGGGAAATGTTTAGATTATTATACCCAACTTTCGTGCGATCACATTTGGAATGTGGGATTCAAGCAGCGAGTCCTTGCTTCAATGTGAGGTGGATATGCTGGAAGGAGTCCAACGCCGCAGGACAAAAATGGTAAAAGGCCTATTTGACTTATCTTATGAAGACAGACTGAGACACCTCAACTTATTTCCGTTATCTTACCGGCGAATACTAGGTGATCTAATATTGGTTTATCGTATCCTGAACGATGACCTTGGTACTAATATGTCCTATTTTTTCCTCCCGTCTAGGACTGATCATTTGAGAGGACATTCGAAGAAAGTCCAAAAACTGAGATCAAATCTCTCACGTCTGGAGTTCCGTTTCTCGTACCGAGTAATGAATTACTGGAATTGTCTAACGGAACGCGCAATATCATCGCCTTCTGCTGATATATTCAGAACGAGATTATACCTTCACAGTGTAGTAAACTGCAAGGATTAATATAGGTCAATAGACCTCCTATCCTTATTACTGAAGACTAAACGTGAATGATAAATCAGACTGATCACTATTCGCTAATGGGGGGAGAATATTCAGTTTGGAACTATTCTTAGTCCCATGAGTGATTATCAAGTCCAACAGAGAACCTTGGTTTACACCACAACGTGTAGGTCTGCATACATGCCGTACTAATGCATGCTCCATTACTGTTACCAGGAATTTACTATCAAAGGAGTTTATAGATCCTTTCGTGCTCATCTCAGTCCAACTAATGTCAGGTGCATTGAAGTCTGATGATAAAACCTGAAATATATACAGAAACTACCGGTATACTTAAATTACATTTAATATTTACCTAGTATACACTGAGCGACGGTAGCGCTGAAAGTCGTAAAGTGAACGAAAATAGCTCAAATGGTACAAGCGGTCCATTAGTTCTGGAGGGAATCTGATATCTGAAATCTGAATAAAAGAAACTTTCACCTAATAGGCCTGCGAATCTGTTAACAGTGGATCACCAATGCCGCCAAGTAGGAACCTAGGTATATTTGACGATAAAGAAGCCTGCGGTAGACTGGAAAAATCTGAAAACTGAATTGCAGGAAAATTCCTTCGAGCATGGACTGGCTGATGCGGTTATCACTTTTGCCCTGATGCAGCATATAAAAGAAGCAACTGTGTACGATCTGGGTTCCTTGCTTGATCTCATAATGACCTATTATGAGGACCTCAACTATATGCCATCACTATGTAAGTGATCATGAAGTTCTAATCTTTGATTTCCATACAGTTGTCAGAAACGAGTGTGTGTCAGCCCAACCTAGATCTAACGTCTGAAAAGCAAACATATGAAGTATTATGCACTCGGCATCTTCATTAGATTGGTCAATCGAGACAGAGTCCCCAACTGAAACGGCATGGGATGTGTTTAGAAGTTTTTACTTAAATGTCACTGCACCTCACATCCTTTAGACTACATCAAGAAGTCCGAGAAACTTCCAACTGTGGTCCATTAAAGAGGTTCTCACCCTACTCCTTAAGAAGAAAAGAATATGGGGGGATTCGGGCCATTGGGTACCGAAGAAACAAAACCTCAATATCGAGAAGCATGAAATATTTGTTCCTCGACCCTCCACAAGTCTAGAAGATTGTACAAAGAAAAACTTGTTGAGGAATGCATTGAATGCCACAAACGCTTATATTCTTACGTAAACTGAAGGACTAAGAGATGAAATATTTCAACTTTATGGTATGACAGTAGTACTCCATCACTAGTAGAGGATGACTATGGTAAAGCGTGGGTACTTTTGAACTACTTCGGCAATGTATATAGCGTAGATATGTCTTACTCTTCAGTTCATGCACACTAGATGCTATAACCACTAAAGAATTCTAAGTCTTCGATCTGTTAAGTGAGTTTGATACAAGTAAATCCATAGAACCCGATGAAATGCATTCTAGGTTACTAAAGGCAAGTTTTATCGCGAACCCCTTAATCATCTGTTTTAATCCATTTGTAACTTAGAACCAGTTACCAAAAGACTGGAAGAATGCCATAGTAAGTCCTGTCACCAACTCAGGTACGAGTCATAAGCCTGAGAACTATCGACCTGTTAATCTAACCAGAGGGGTTGTTAAAATTCTGGAAAAGACTAATCGGGAGGAGCTTTTTAAGTATTTTTAAGAGAACCTGTCTCATGAACTTATTAGTAACCTGTGAAAGTTTGTGAGTATTTAAAGATCAAAAGTTACCCATAAATGTAGACTAAATTGACTTGAATGAGGCCTTTGATGAAGTCTCTCATAATCGGCTGTTATATATGTCAAGTAATATCGAGGTTGAAGGCCATTTATCAACGTGGGTGAAAGATTTCCCAGTTGGACGCTAACAAAGAGTACATGTGAACTCAAAGTTGTCTAGTTGGGAAACTGTGCTCAGACGAGTGCCAGTGCTGTTCCTTCTGTTTATAAACGACCCTTTTAGTCCCTTATCACCAGCTGTTCACACTCAAGTAAAGTGTATGATCTAATATCTGGAAGAGAGTCAGCTTCCTAACTCCCTTTACGACTAATCAGTTTTATTGAAATAATGCCCAGACAAATTTGAGATAGGCCCTGATTATGAGCTAAACCTGTAGTAAACGAGAACACAAGTGCGGACAAGCAAATGTGCATTATCACAAAGTTACAGAGTTATTTGGTAAAACATGAATGCCATAGATTCAGTGCTTCATTCACAAAATGTCCACCAATTGTCCCAGACATCATTGTCCCTTCATTTGCATACCGTTCACTCTTTTCCCGTTCTCAACCTTCCATTGGTATTACGTACTACTTATATCTGTCGACACACGTAGCACACATCACATAAATTCAGTGGGTGATTAATATTTCGATCGATATTCGGGGTCTATCAACTTCACATTTAAAATTTGAGTTATGTACTCTTGTTACGTGAATTTTCTCAAACACAGATTATAAAGACCATGTTTTAGTACCTCTAAGTCTTTTTTCGTAGCATTCATTTTTAATAGCTCTACGCAGCGTCTTACTCCGTGACCAGCCTTGCAAAACCTACAATATGTGAGTTTCGTGAAGTTGCTTAACTGATGTTTGACAAAGTCAGAGCACATAACTCCACTAAACTGACATTGTTAAACCTTTCTACAAAGGTTGGAGCTGTGGTGTGTAGGCATACCTTACAGGATTTCTGCGACCTTTTCTCCTTCTTCTACAGAAGAAACCAACCCTTCAAAGTGTTTTCCATTGCCAGTCACCATTGTTTTGTAGGTGACAGTGCGGTCAAATCAAACGCTGTCCAAATTTAAATCTTTCCTAAATTACTTTATAAACCAATTCGGAGTTTAATCCATACTCGATGGAGCCTACATAAGCCATAACTAAAGCTCTCCCAATACAAAAATTAAAACCTGCGCTTAGTGACCATATTTTGTTGCTCATTTCGCTGCTTGTGCTTCTTCTCTTCTTTTCAGCATCAAGAATGTAACACTCAAAAGTGAAATTTGGGACAGATGGGTGTTAACCAAGGTTACAATTGGTACGATGTGCCATTTCCAAACAGATTATAACTGTGAACTTATATTACAGTTTCAACACACAAACCTATTTACTAACTTGTTGGTTTGCCTGCATGAATTCTCTGTCAAAACTTTTCAGTCTTCATCTGTATAATAGTCTTACCTGCGTACTATCTTATCTGTAAACCCATGTTCTAAATTATTGACCATGTCTATAAGAATGGTTTGGACCTGATATTTATTGTGATTAGTCATAACATTGCTTATGTTCTTATGTACGTAAACTTACCCTTCTGTTTCTACATCGTATTACGTATTAACCTGAGTGGCTTATTACAGTAAACCCTGCAACGTTTCGATCTTGCCTCTTGTAACACACTGTTGTACGAAAACAAATTACTATACGATATTGTTTATATATAGATCTGTAGTGGCATTGGTCCTAACTAAAAAATCCTCAAAGCTGAACACGGGATAACTGCGTAAAGCATTTAAGACGGATAGAGGGTTAACGATAGAGAACGCGTGGACAATTCACTCATTCGATAGGATGGCATGACTCAGTGCTGCAGGCGCCGTCATTCTTTTGTAACTTGTTTCTTTTATTCATATTAAATATAATGATAATTTATTCTCAACTAACAGTCTGTCACATGAAGCATGCCAGTTAACAGGCAATATCAAATTGTAACAGAAGATACAGTCTTTACTGTTGTGAGTTACTCAGCTTGATATTTTATAAGGTACATTGATCGTAGAATTACGCGGAATAACACTTCCCACATAAAGTTGTAAATAATATTAGTGAGACTCATACTGTCAACATGGGGGTTGACGCGCTTTATGTAGGTTGTGTTGCGACGTGCAACTGATGGTCTAAAATAAATCCACATAAAGTTGAGAGCTTCTAGGGACTGCAACATTATATCCTTCTGGAACACCTGAGGTATTAATGACTGCTTAGGACGAAATCACCTATTTCATAGGTATTTTCTGTGGCATATGACGAGAGGACTGAAAGGGAGAACAAAAAAGGAAGTACGAAAAGAAGAGTAGACAATGCTCATGGCAACTGAAGTTGAGTCATTTGTGGTGGAATAGCTAGGATATGACTACTTAGTCCAAATCTCTTTTATTAAGGTATTTTTAAGCAAGAGCATTTCAATAGGTTGAGGAAAACAAACATAAATATGGTATGAATGGACAAAGAACTGTATAAGTGGAAGTGGTTCAAAAAGAGGCTAAAAGTATAGGATTACATGTAGTTTTAAAATATAGTACTGAAAACAGTCTTCTGATACACAAATGGCAATCTCCCTTCTTTGTCGAAGCTATTTCAGCTAATTTTGACTTTTATGGATTTTAAAGGGTAAAGAGCAGGTTTCGTTTGTAGCGAATCGTCTTGTTTTGTTTGTAATAGGATTACTCGTTAGGAAGTGAAACCAATTCGATGTTGCAAACATGATTTAAAGAGGTATTTTGCATCATTAATTAGCATCAATATATTAGCATCTATATGCACTCTCTGTTCTTCCTCATTCCAACCTTGACTTCCCTCCTTCATTAGAACCTACTCCACCTTGATAAATATCACGAATCATTGTTCTTTATTACTGCCTTCTCTCTTCTGGAGCCCCTAATCGCAGTTTACTCTTGCAACATGAGCTAGTATCAATTTATTCTAATAATTTATTATACCTCCATCTGTTCCACTAATAAATGTTAAGCATTGATTATCGCTCATATCCAAATGCCTTACTGCTCCTCGGTTTCTCTTTTATTTTTTCTCTTCAGAATCTTGCTCTGAGGGTGAAGCTATGTGACTTCGGACATCTGGAACAAGCTTGACGAACACGCTTTCCTAAGGTCATAGCTCGAACCAGGCGCTCCACAAGCCTACTTTATAACAACTAAAAACTTAAAAAGCTGCATTACATAAATACTTAGAACTACTGAAACCCTATTACACTTTTTGTCGAGATTAAATCTGGTATATAACGTGGACGCTATGCCCCTTTGGAAACTATTCTTATGAAAACACATTATATCTGAACGAGTGAACTGCTATCAACTTTTATAGATTATAATTAATAAAAAAGCTTGCTTGGGATGCATACTGTGAACCAGTATATGTTGTAAATTGTAGATCATGCCTGTAAAAATGGCGTGTACCTGCTAATGCAGAAAAATATTATTATTATTGGTTCGTGACACTCTACATGACTATAAGGAACCGTGATTTAACGACATGTTCTGCCTTTCAGACACGGTTGGATTGAAGTTATCTTCTAACCATTATGTTTGCTAGTCAGTAACGTTACCCTCCCTCCTTTTGTGATGTGGGGCTCTCTTAAATTTGCGATATGTATGAATATTGCTCTAATCTAATCTCCCTGTTGAAAAACACCGTTCCTACTAGTTCCATGTTACAAGCGAATCAGATGTCTAGAGATTTTTTCTTGTGGGTTAGATATCCGTTTAGTATATCACACTGACATAAAGCCAACTAGTGGTATAAGTTTTAGGACGCTGGTCAGATTATATGTGGTTAAGAAATGGTAATAATATACAGTGAATCAAAGAATATGCGAGAGTTTAGGATTGTCAATTTTCAGAGTTAGAAAACAATGCATTGAGCGACTCACAAGAATTTAAAATACTATGAGCATCCTGAGATCGGCCATAGTTGATCAGCATTCATGAGATTAGTGAGTCATCTGTCTACTTGTGATAGAGAAAAAGACATCATACTTAGGGAGAATAGTGCAACCTTAACCATTGGCAAAATTCCGAATCCGAAAGTGTGGGGTAGGAGCACAAAGGCACGACTGATAATCAATGAATAATGGAAGAGGGTAAACCATGTGCTCTATTTGGCTGTATCCATGTAAGTTGATGACAATGAGGGTCTGTTATATTCCTGATCGGTCTAGATATTGGGCGGTCCATATTGAAGCGCCTCATTGATGAGTGAAAGTTCAGGGAATAGTTGAAGCTGTTTAGAGTCAAGCAGCAAGGTTATTAGTTTTTGGAATTGTTGATAGAGTCACAGTTACGGATAGGTATTGGCAACCCGCTCCATAATAAAATATATCACACTGCAAAAAGCCTACGACGCATTGGTTTCTTGTGTTTTACTGTAAGTAGCGTATATGTGCTGTTTCCAAGTTTCCGGGTACATTGTTGAATCTCCAGCTTAAATGTGTTCTTTGGAAACACAAAAGTATATATTCCTGATTGTTACACGACGAGTTAGAATAGACGATGATGTGACTTACACATAGGATTTCATAGATAAGATGGTCATAAAATGACAAATTTACGATTTCAGAATTCATTCTATTCTTATGGCAGTGCCAATAATAAGCTAGATACCAAAGAAAGGTGATTTGAGCAAATGTAAGGACTATAGAGGCATCACACTGCTATCAGTACCAGAAAACGTTTTCAACGGTGTTGCTAAACCGGATGGAAAACTCAGTAGACGCCAAAGTTCGAGATGAATAGACCGGATTCCGTAGGGATTGATCGTGCAAAGATCAAGTCACAACACACACATGATGGAGAAACTCTGTGATATGTGGAAACTTTCACGTATCTACCTGGACAGCACCATCGATGAACGAGGGGATCTGGTGCAAACGTAAAGGCAAGGATTAACAAAGTAAGGACAGCATTCCTACAGTTGAAGAACATTTGTAACTCAAAACAACTATCAACCAATATCAAAGTTAGAATCTTCAATGCGAACTTCGAAACAGTTCTACTGTATGGAGCTGAAAGTTGCAGAACTACTCCAACCATCATCAAACATGTACGGGTATTCATAAACAATTGTCTACATAAGATACACAATGTCCGTTGACAGGATACGACCAGCAACAGCCTACTGTGGGAGAGGACAAAGCAGCTTCGAGTTGAGGAGTAAATTAGGAAAGCACGTTGGAAGTGGATAAGACATACATTGAGGAAATCATCAAGCTGTGTTGCGAAACAAGAGCTAACTTGGGACCCCGAAGGGAGAAGAAAAAGAGGAAGGCCAAGCGACACACTGAGTCGAGAATCGGAAGCAAACATGAAGAGGATGAGGAATAGCGACTGGAGACAACTTGAAAGGATGGTCGAGGATATAGTCGGATAGAGAATGCTGGTGAGAGGCCTATGATCCTCCATATGTTTACCTGAATAACTGGTCACTACAGGCGATAAATAAAGTCATTAAATGGGATCCTCTCTTCAAAGCCGTAGTAAACACTAAAAATTAAATGGATTGGTTGTTTAGGCCTCGAAACACTCTGACAGGTCCCATCTGTGGCACAGTTAGGTGCTTTCTCGAGGGAATTGCTTGAGAACAGTTTGAATTTTGGCAGAATTTCATAGGAATTCATCCTGTACCTCAATGTTGTAAAAGTTTAAGTTTCCAGAATTTGGTGGGATATGTGTATTTAGAACAGATGGATTACTACCTGTTTTAGTCCTTTTTGATAAACTTCTGCGAGTGCCTTGTATAGGTAAATCGAAGATGTATACACCACTTCATAGTGTAACAGGCCCCAAGAACTGACGATTTACTGTGAAAATCTGGATGCCGCATGTATTTTGTTCGTTCTTGGCTTTTGTACTCGCATATTGTATCCTCTGAGTTGTCCTGGTCTGGTAGGATGTAAAATAGGGGATATATTTGGTCTAAAATTATTTTTTAGTATTCTATATATCAAAGTCAAACCATCTTTCAATTTGTGGTAGAACGGAGTAATCGGATCTATTTCCTGAAGCAACTCTTTGTATGGTAAACCTCGGAGTTCTGGAATTGTGCAGGCACTTTTTCCAAGATATCCGAGTCACCTTGAAGACAGAGGCTTTCAGCGTGAACTCAGTTTTCAGGTTTGGATCCCACTAAGGTTGCGCATACCTTAGAGAACACATTAGCATCTCACTCAGTAATTATTCGTCTATAAGCCTTAGGGTTCCGAAACGCTTAGCGGAGACCTAACGGTATGGATCGTGGTGTTAAGACCATGGCTCACTGTCACCCTAAGATCCTTGTGAGACCAGACCACGAGCACGGGCTTTCCCCCTCTTTCTTCTATATCTAATTACCTTTGTATCCCCAATGTGTCAGTAGACACACTTGGCACCATTGATAGGGATCAGCCATTTTTTAGACCATCTAATCAGAGCATTGACTTCTGCCCAAAGTGCACATGTATCTGCATCTCATGTTATTTCTTGACAGAGTTTTACATCACTAACGTATAGTAGCATTGTGGATTCAGCTATACTTAGGAATTTATTTACACACAGTATAAAAAGTGAAGTACTTAGAACAGAACTCTGTGGCACTCCACTAAGTACCGATTTCCAGGAGTAGCATCTGGAATTTACTCTTACATTCTGCTCACGATCTATCGACGTCTGATAATCCTTAGATTTTGTAGTTTCAAGAGTAGTCCATCAGCATCTTATTAAATGCTTTTCTGAAATTCTTGTAGATGGAATCCTCTGGTTTTCCATTATCTAGAGACTACATCCATTGCTCTCTTGCTATGAAGACTGCTGTGCAAGATAATCCTTTCCTGAAATCATGTTTTTCCCCGTTTAACAAGTTGTTGGTTACCACGAATGTCATTACGGTCTTTTTGATCATTCTTTCCAGTATTATAACTACGATACTGGTGAGGCTAACAGGTTTGTAGTTTGATAGGGATAAAAGACTTCCTAGTTGGGCGTCAACAAAAAGTAAGGGTGAACTCCAAGTTGTCTAGCTGGGAAAGTGTGCTTAGTGGAGTCCCTCATGGTACAGTTTTGGGGCCAGTGTTATTCCTCCTGTACGTAAATGACCTCCCTCGTCTACTATCGTCATCGGTCTTACTCTATGCTGACGATGTCAAGATATGGAGAGCGATACAAAGCAAGGGCGATAGCTTAGAACTTCAAAATGACCTGGAGAGATTATCTAAATGGTCTCAAACCTGGCAATTGCCGATAAACACTTCCAAGTGTATTATGATGCATATTGGCCATCAGGGTACAGATACATACACAATGAATAACACTGAGCTACCTATTGTCCAGACACACAATGACTTAGGAGTCATAGTTAGTCAAGACTTAAAGACTACTACACACCGCCGTGAAATAGCCGCCAAAGCTTTTACAACTTTATGGTCCATACATAGGGCTTTTAGTCATCTCGACCCTAAAACGTTTCTGACTTTGTATACAGTATTCGTGTGTCCTTAACTTGATTACTGCATACAAGCAACTAGCCCTTGTCTAAAAAAAAGACAGTGAACTCTTGGAAAGGATTCAGAAAACAGCAACTAAGCTGATTCCCGGAATGGCGAAGCTCCCGTATCATTCTAGACTGAAAAAACTAAACCTATTCCCGCTGTCATATCGAAGAATCAGAGGCGACTTGATTACAGTTTTTAAATTGCTTAATGACAAGTTTGCACCTGATATGCCCTCATTTTTCTTGTCTTCCAAAACAGAAAATATACGAGGACACTCCAAAACAGTTCACAAGCTCAGAACGAATTACTTGTCAGTTGACTACCGACTTTCTCATCGAATCATCAACGAGTGGAACTCATTACCTCAGCACGTGGTTGAGGCTCCATCTGTGGACTCTTTCAAAAGAAAGCTGGATCAGCTGAGAGACTATCATTGTCAGAACTAACGTAGGCCATCAAGCCTCCTGTCCTTTCCAAACTGAAACTGAAACTTAAGGAAGTTGTTTTAGTCCTATTTCATGTATTGGTATGACTATTGCTTCCTTTCAGTCCGTAGGTAACTCAACTTGGCCAAGTGATACATTACGTACCGTACTCAGTGTGGAAGCAACATATCGTGAAGGTGTCTCAAGATTTTAGGTCATAGTTCATCCACTCCTGTGGATTTTTCAATGTTTAAAGTATTAAAGGTCATCAGTTTACCGTAACTGAAAATTTCATTTTAAATACATATATGAGACTTATACTTAACCAGTGACAAGAAAAACGAAAAATATAAACTTATTCGAAAGAAAAGAGTTTATTATTCCGCACTTCATTCTTCCAGGTTTTTGTTCAAGAAATCTAAACAGCTACATACTAGAGGACCCGGTTCTGCGTCTTAAGCATAGATTTCGTGTGATACTTCTTTCTCTCATTTTTTATTCAAAGTAAAGTTCATTTTCAAAATCATTTAGATATTTCATTTCGTTTGTCTTGTCTACATTCTTTCATTTGGCCTTGAAATGTAACAAGCTTTTAAAAACTGCAATCAGATTCCAATATTTGTTGTGAACTGAAATATTATTTTGTATTTGAACCTTCTAATATACACGGCATCATTAATTATATTCACAACTTTGCAAAATTCATAAGTATCCGTCTTAAACAATAAATTCAGCAATTAACATTCCTCAATATTACGAACAGATTTTCAGAATGTAAGATATATTTACTTAACTTATCTTCGAATAAATCAAAGTGCCTTACATTGGATTATGCACGAAAGATGTCCTTTAATAACTTGAGTTCACTCAGGAATCTTTTACTTGGACCGTGAATGATAGAACTAGACGCTTCCCCGAAGAAAGGTCGATGGGAGGAGGTGACCAGTTTATTACCTTCTTCTAAGTGCACTATTGGTAATAAACCTTTTGAAGTGGATAGATCCGGTGGGGTGCTGTGCATTGATATTGAAAATTTAGGTTCATTTGGAGGGAACCAACAGCCAAATTATTTTGGTCCGTTACAACCACATTATAGTATAGCTTTCAAGGACTATCCTTCAGAATACGGAGCACTACCTCAGGCTGATTGTGCGGCTCAAAATGTTGAATTTCTTACATACCCTCATTCCATGGACGACTCACAAGGCAATCGAGATGAACTCAGTACTCCAATAACAATAACTGGATTTGATAATTCTTCCGGCATAAGCGCTGATTCATATGTAAGTTTGTTTCGTTGTAAAGCGGTGTTACAACAGACATTTTGCTCAGATTCTATTTATTATTAGTAACTAAATTTAAGTAGCTCAAGTTTCATGGATCCCGACACTGAAGCAAATAATCTATATAAATTCTTGTATTCTTTGTTCACTTAAAGACGAGGCATTTTCAAAACGTATTATGAGCAAATTGCCGGTGTTGTTAACTACGTTAACTACGTCAATAATTTCGATTTTCCAACAGTGAACGACTTTGCCAAATCAATCTTCGTAACCACAATTAGAAAACCACTATTGCCGTTACGTAAGAACCTTGGGGTGAAAGAGTGAAAACGAGGAACAAACTTTTTGGAGGATTGGTACTCATTACTATAATGAGTTAAACCGAGGTCTTCAACGTTTGTCTTAATAGCGTTTCCTCTAACTTAGAATTTAAAATGTAACGTTAATATTGGTGGAGAACTAAAGTATTCAAGTCATTCTCAGTGCAATATGAAGTGGTTATTTCGTCTCTTGCATGTTCACATGTTATTTATCATTGAACCTGTAGGTTCATAGCATTTCTGTCTATATGTTTTGGATTAATTTTTCTTATTGATATGAAAAAGAGAAACAGTTGAATAAAACTTTGTTTGTGAACTCAGATATAGTTGCCAAAACATGTTGTGCTTTATAACGGCAGGCATAACATGTTTACTATTTGACCATCTAAAGCCGCTGCCAAGTTCCTATAAGTGATTTAATACTTTGGTTAACTGTAGAGAAGCATATGTGTATCTGTAAATACCTGATTCAAGTGCTGAAACTAAAGTTAAAGTTGCTTAGACAGATATCACGTGAGTTTTATGTTCTTTATCGTTTTACCTAGAGTACCTTTTTAAATGAGTATCTTGTGTTGTGAACATTATCAAAGCTATTATATTCAAGTGTCTAGGGGTACATAAAGGAGTAACACTACTGACATAACACTAAAAAACCTAAATTATTTGTGTATTGCACGTTGAGCGAGAGTCATGTAAACTAGTTTACTCTAATGGAACACTTACATTTATTACTGAATAAAATGTGATCACAATATTATGGACATTTTGTGTTTAAAGTTTGTACTGGCTTGACTCAGTGATTCAGAGTCAGTGTCAATAACAGCAGTCTAAGGCCATTTAGTGTGTTTATTTGACTCTATGACAATTAAAATTTAATTAACAATAGTTTATCGTTTACTATATAGAAATTTATCAATCTATTAAACAGGAATATGGTTCTAATTTAGTAGTATTAAGACTTTCGGAACATTTTATTGATCAACATGTCACAAAGGATATGTTTCCCAATGTTTCTTTACGGTCCTAATAAGTCACTCTAAATTAAATATGTTTATATTTAAAGTATGTAAATTAAGTATAAACAACATGGTATTATTTATTATAATGAGTCTGGGACTTGTATCTCAACACATTTTATATTTATGATTAAATAGTTATTTTACAAAAGTAGAAAAAGCTTTCTAATTGTTTAAAATGATAGACAGACGGTCTTCATCAAAGTAAACGCTTAATACAAAACATTTCATTATAATAATAAACGGATAAAGATGTATCTAAATCTAAATACCACGAGTTGTTGATGCGACCTTTATTTTTCATAAAAATTCCTTATATTAACACAGTAATTAATGATTAATAATGTTGACTTGGGCTTGAATCTATAAAATATATTGAGGATATTACTATATATCATTGTTCAATTTAAGCAACATATACAACAAAACACACATTATAGAGCAAAAGTACGCAATTAGAATGAAGTTCTTTATTTATGGGTTTTTTTAAATCTGAAAAACGATAAGAAAACATTTTGAGCATTTTGCCTTAAAACAAGGTGAAGTGTGCAAAACACGAAGCTCTTAATTTAAAGTGTATTTCGAATAACGTTACGCCTAAATTTTTGACACCTCAAACACTACTAAGTTGTGTCCTGACAATTTATAATAATTTTCATAGTTGAAATCATGAGTCAATTGAAGCTAGATCACCATGGAAAACCTGGAAGCCCTGGAAGCCGTTTTGTCTTATTGTGGGACTCCTCAGCAGTGCGCATCCACGATCTCGCACTCGCGAGATTCGAACCCAGGACCTACCAGTCTCACTCCAGGACGAAACAGCCGTCTAGTGCTTCCAGGTTTTCCATGTGGTCTAGCTTCAATCGACTCATGATTTCAACTATGAAAATACTAAATTCTCCACAAAACCCCTTCTAATTTACAATAAATCTACAAACGAATAACAAAGTTCCGCATTACACTGAGTTTTTATCAGCCATAAATTTTTATTCATTTTCTGACATTGGGATTTGCATCACAATTACTTTACAGTATTTCTCGAATGACACAGTTTAGATTTCGGATTAGTTTGTTTAAAAATCCGAGAAGTATTAGACACTTTGACTAAAGTTTAAGTTTTCAAGCCTAATCAAGTGCACTGCATGAAGGGCTTTAAAACAAATTCCACTGGTTTGATTTGATTCACATTGCTACAAGAGTATGGTGCAACAAAAATATCATCATAAAACTTCTGATTTCAACTTCCAATTATTATTAAATGTTTGGTGGTTTTAACAAATGTACCGGACTTAAAATATGGATTTAATCCACACATTCGTTTGTCATTGATCTTATTGATATCACGTGATGAAAATACTGGGTGGAATTCACGGGATAATTGTAAACTAGATTTGGAGAAGTAAGTTGGCATATCGCAGGATCATTTCCGTTGACGTAGGTTTATTTATCCTTGGTTTTTATTCATTTGTCGAGCGTGTTATTATCCCGCACTTTCCATTTGAATTTAAAATATTCTTAGATTTCCAAACCGTTACCAGCATTGTCATTTAAACTTATTGACAAGTAGTCTGGTTAATTTTTTAAGGATATTCTGCATCTGTATCTGTATCAGACCATAGGTCGCCAACGACTTACGAGTGTCGGTACATTTTGTCCTGAATAAACAATTTATATGTAATTTAAGTCCTTATTTTTTAAAGTCTAACTAGCAAAAATATTTTCCCCTTATTGCTTCTTCTATTTAGGCCGTTTAAGAAAAATAAAGGACGATACCTAGATATCCATAAAAGTTACTATGTTAGGTGATGCTGTTAATAAAAATATTTTCGAAAAAATAAAACACCTTGTAATTGATATATATATATATATTTCGCTCGGTACCACAGATCATACATCTTCAGTGTTTTAAAACTATATGCTGAAGCATGGTTAGCAGAGATGGTAGTGGCTAGCAGTGGAATCCAGGACGCGCGTTTCGTCCTATTTGGGACTCGTCAGCTGGATGTACCTGCATCTCAGAGTTGATGTTCACTCTGGGATTCGAACCCAGTACCCTCGCTTCAAACGCCATCGCGTTATCCACTCGGCCACTGAGTCCTGATAGCCACATGCTTGTGAATTAAGGTATATCGAGGCAATACGCACAGTATGCACATATGCCAATTAGAGACTGACCAGTTGCAGTCCTAACAAATCGATGGGAAGATTCAAACAAACAATACTAAGTTGAATTTATATGCTGAAGCATTTAAATGCAACCATAAAAAGCAATCATCATAAAGTCTGATGTATTAAGTCATTTTTCACCTTCTGGATTACAGTTAATTACTTATTTAGGCACTAAGGCTGGTAAAGATGTTTGTGATAGTGATGTAGATTTCGGGTCAGATTGTGATAAAACTTTAGGCACACATAACTTCTCAACACTGATATATATTTTAGAACTGCATATTTTTTTTAATGCTAACTATTTTGGATCTATTTGATGCTGTGATTTGTTGAGTGTTATTCTGAATAAATTTTCATAAGAATGTGCTTCTGGTTCTTTGAATTGATCCTAGTTTCTTGTTAAATTACTCAACGTCGCTTGATTCTTAATAAAGAAATGTATTTACCACTACATAATCTAAGTTTTCCATTCATTGTTGTAAGAAATGGTTGATAAGTCACTTATATTTTACTAGGGAAATAGTTATGAGTAAGAAGGTCCCTTGGTGTGAAACATTTAAGAGATTTCAAGTCAAAACCTTTTCGAGGAATCTACTAATACCCCTTTGCCATTGTTGTGTATATTTTACTAGAACAGAATAATTGCGTCTTTTGATCATTTTTATCGTATAATTCTTTAAACAGTTTCGTTATTAAAACTGGTTTGAATAGGTAGTCAATAACCATAAAGTTTTCAGTAGTATATAAATAAAATCAAAGTATTTCTTGGTATAATCAACTAAAATAGATATTTAGTTTAAAGGATAATTTGTATAATGAGACAGGAAAACTGTCACAAAACGTCAAGTTCAATAATAATCATTAAATGACTGATCATATTTAGTTTATGCTGTGTCTTTAATTAACTGAGATTCGATGCATAAATTTTTGAACTTTGAAGAAATATTTGGGATAGTTGGTATGGGATCATAAGATCTTATGTTCAATCTTATGTGGGATCACTGGAGGTGCGCTAGCAAGGATTATTTAACTTGGACCAAACTTATATCGATTGTTCCATCATTTTAGACTGTTTTTTTGGGTGATGTTACTTTGTGATGATTGGAGTCAACTGAATGAATGAAGTGTACATCTTTGCATTACATGTTAAATTGAAATCAAAGTGTGTATCACAGGAGTTTTCTCTTCATTAATCAATCAATTATGTTTACTTCGAAAGACAAGATAATTTAACATCCTTATAAACTGTTGGGATTCTCTGATGTTTGAAGTCATCTATTTAGCATTTAATTAATATTCATGATCATGAAAAAGGGTTCTTGTTGTTCTCTTACAGATATTTAAAAGTGACAAGGGTGAATCTCCATCAAAATATGAGTCACATGAGTTCCAGACTATATCGGTGCTCACGAAGCCCTTATTTGGACAGAGGTTTATCAAGTGTAGTTTTGAATATCAACAATGCGAAAGTAGAAAACCCTAAAAATAATTATAG